TGTGAAATTGGATACTGGAATAGAATCATAGAATCATAGAATCATAGAGTTGGAAGAGACCTCATGGGCCATCCAGTCCAACCCCTTGCCAAGAAGCAGGAAAATTGCATTCAAATCACCCCTGACAGATGGCCATCCAGCCTCTGTTTAAAAGCTTCCAAAGAAGGAGCCTCCACCACACTCGGGGCAGAGAGTTCCACTGCTGAACGGCTCTCACAGTCAGGAAGTTCTTCCTCATGTTCAGATGGAACCTCCTTTCTTGTAGTTTGAAGCCATTGTTCCCATGCGTCCTAGTCTCCAGGGAAGCAGAAAACAAGCTTGCTCCCTCCTCCTCCCTGTGGCTTCCTCTCACATATTTATACATGGCTTCCATATCTCCTCTCATCCTTCTCTTCTGCAGGTTAAACATGTCCAGCTCTTTAAGCCGCTCCTCATAGGGCTTGTCCTCCAGGCCCCTGATCATTTTAGTCACTTTCCTCTGGTCACTCTCCAACTTGCCCTTATATGTCAAAAACTGGGATTGTGGCGCAGCTGGCTGAGTGTCAGCTGCATTAAGATCACTCTGACCAAAAGGTCATGAGTTCGAAGCCAGCCCGGGTTGGAGTGGGTTTCCAACCAATTGTGTAGCCTGTTGTCGACCTTTGCAACCCCAAAGACAGTTGCATCTGTCAAGTAGGAAAATTAGGTACCACCTTAAAGTGTGGGGAGGCTACATTAACTGATTTATGAGGCCATAAAGAAGACTCCAGCAAAGCATTCCAGCGGGGAAGCATGCGGGGAATGCGGAAGTGCTTCATCAGTGTCGCAGATGGACGATGAAAGCGACAGCTCCCTGGCGGCCAGAAAAAGTTAAATAGCCTCTGTGTATGTCTGTATATGTTGTATGTCAAAATTGGCATTGAATGTTTGCCATATATGTGTACACTGTAATCCGCCCTGAGTCCCCTGCGGAGTGAGAAGAGCAGGATATCAATACTGTAAATAAATAAATAAAGAGTTGTGCCAAAGTCCTTCCTTTTTATTGTACAAGAGGCTGAACTTGAGGGTCCCAATTCCTAGCAAGGACACCCCCGTCTTGCGGAAGCCCCCGGGTGCAGCCGTGGCAGGGGCCGAGGGGCCATGGTTCGCTGCTCCGCAGCCGCCATGGGGAAGAGGGGACGGAGATCCCCGTGGGACTTCCCGGCCGTGTCCTCCTCCCGAGGGGCCACAGGTGGGAGGCAAAGGGTGGAGCTCCTTCCGTAGCGGAGCGTGACTCCTGGGGCCAGCTCCACCCTCTCCATCAGCAAGGTGGGCTTCACGAAGATGAGGCTGGTGGGCTCTAGGACTTTTCCCGGAGGAGGGGGAGGCTGGGCGGCTTGTTCCAAGAGCTGCTCCTGCAGGGTCCGGCCCGAGCCCTCCCACGAGACCCCCGGAAGGGCCCCCAGAGGGCTACCATCGAAGCCCACCACCGTGTCCATCCTGGGCGCCAGGGAGTGTTTGGCAGGGCGTCGACGGGAGCTTCCACGCACGGGACATCTCCCCGAGACGGTCTTGAGGGCCTCCCGGCGGCGGGACTCTGCGTCCATGTCCACCATCTCAACGACGGGCCGGATCCAGTGCTTGGGCAGCCGGGCCGGGTCCAGGCGGGGGACGACAGTGATGTGACCGCTCGCGTCGTAGGAGACGTCCTTGGTGATGGGAGGGCGGCCCACCTGGATCCGCAGCAGGTTGCTGCAGGAGGGGGGAAGCATCACGGGGTAGCCCGCCTCTTTGGGCTCCGGCTGCTTCAGGGAGATCTGAGAGAGCTTCTGCAGGAAAGGCTCCTTCTCCTTCTCGGAGCCCTCCAGGGAGGAGAAAGGGATGCTGAAGCGGGCCATCCGCACAGTTTTCTCGCTGATCTCGTGGGGCGCCAACCCCTTGATGGACAAACGGGGCTGGGGAGGCGGGGGTCGGGTTGTTTTTACTGGTGGGACCCCTTCCTGGGATCTGAGCCGGCTGGTACGGGACTCCATTGGACGGAGGTCTGGCAAGGAGGGCTGAGGGAGCTCCTTCTGCTCCTTTTCCTCTTTCTCCTCCTCCTCGTCCTCCTTTAGTAGGGAGCTCAGGAGCCCTGGAGTAACACCCACTGTCATGTCTTTGACAGATATCCCTTCTTCTTCCACAGCAGGGGCTTCCTCCAGGAGGATGGCTAGTGGCACCTGGAAGGAAAAGGGACATTATGAGGAGCTGTCCAATCACCATGGATGCAGGATGGAAGCCCCCCTTTTCGCCATGTCCCTCCTCTAAGCCAAGCCCTATGAGGTCCTCTCACTCCCCATCTGTTGTATCCCACAGCAGGGACACCTCTGTCCTTAAGCACCACATAAGTATAGTAAAATCAGCAAGCAGTTTATTGAAGGATATATATAAACAAAGCAATAAAAAGTATATAAACACTATAGTATTTTCCAAAGGTAACAAACAGTCCATGAACTTCAACATACAAAGGTAGAAACATAAGATCCAAGGATGCAAAATCCAAAAGAACAAGACAGCATGGAGATCCAACAGGAAGCTGGCAAAACCTGAAACCTGAAACTAGAAATCTACTTGGAAACAAGACCATCATGAAAATCCAACATTGACAAGGCTGAGCTAAAATCCTTCCCTCGTCTCATATAAAGCTTTTCCTGTCCCATGAAATGAAAGGAAAACATTCCTTTTGCCTTTACAACCAGATAAAGATACTCCTTTAATTGGCTGGCGTCTGACCTTGACATTATCTCTTTTCTAGCTGATGGGCTGACCTTCGGCGATCTCGAGACCTTTGCCTTAGTTTACAAAAGTATTTTTTCTATATTCAAACTCATTATATTCTGCACTTGACAAATCATGCTCAGAAGATGGTTTCTCAGGAAAAAACTGCTGTGGGCCAGGAATTTGACCTTGGGAATCTACAGGAGAAGTATCCCGTTCATGAGAAACCTCGGGCATCTCAGCAAGGTCAGAACCATGCCTTTCAACAAGGCCAGGAAAACCATCATCCTCACAATCAGACACAATCACAGGCTGAACTACAACACATGCACTGATTGGTGGAAGTGAAGATGACACGGTTGGGGATCCCCTTCTCGTCGGGCAGGGAAGCCCTGGGGCCTCCAATGAGAGATTAGAGATGGTTCTTGGGGCGGAGAGGTCTCCCGGGGTCATGCCTGTCCCTCGGTGTGTGGCAATGGTATGCAAAAAAAAAAATGTGTCCAGGAAACTGCATGTGTGTCCAGGAGGATAGCTAACAGCATCTGGAAGGGAAAAGGGCACCATGAGGAGCTTTCTCATCACCATGACTGCAGGATGGGAGCCCGCTTTTTTCCTATGTCCCTTCTCTAAGACAAGCCCTATGAGGTCCTCTCACTCCCCATCTGTTGTATCCCAGAGCAGGGACACCTCTGTCCTTAAGCACCACACCAGTGTAGTAAAATTAGCAAGCAGTTTATTGAAGGATATATATAAACAAAGCAATAAACAGTATATAAACAGTATAGTATTTTCCAAAGTTAACAAACAGTCCATGAACTTCAACGTACAAAGGTAGAAACACAAGATCCAAGGATGCAAAATCCAAAAGAACAAGACAGCATGGAGATCCAATACCCAGAAGAGGAACCTGGCAACACCTGACACATGAAACTATTGGAGCTGTTTGAAATGTGTAATGTAGATTTCAAAGTATGTATGTATGTATGTATGTTTAAAATGCAATGTTATATGCCGAGTGTATTCCTGTGTGGAAAGAGTTAACTGAACCATGGAAGGAATGGCATTCCTAGAGAGGTAATAAATCAAAATGTATAGTGCAATGGACGCTGTACGTCATACGTCATTCTTGAATGCAGGAGGTGTGGACTAGTACTGATAACACCGTGTTCTGTGTGTTCCCGATGTAGCTACCGGACGAAGAGGAAGCAGTTTTACGATGTGCTACTGTGTATAGCTGTAAATAAAGCAGTTTATAGCCTAAAGTGCCTGTGATGATCGTGTTCCTTGCCTTGCTGTGCAGCCGATGCCACTGACAACAGAAACTAGAAATCCACTTGGAAACAAGACCGTCATGAAAATTCAATGTTGACAAGACTGAGCTAAAATTCTTTCCCCGCCAAATATAAAGCTTTTCCTGTCCCATGAAATGAAAGGAAAACATTCCTTTTGCCTTTACATCCAGATAAGGATTTCTTATCTCTTTTCTAGCAGATGGGCTGACCTTCGGCGATCTCGAGACCTTTGCCTTAGTTTACAAAAGTATTTTTTCTATCTTCAAACTCATTATATTCTGCACTTGACAAATCATCCTCAGAAGATGGTTTCTCAGGGAAAAACTGCTGTGGGCCTCTCCCAGGAATTTGACCTTGGGAATCAACAGGAGAAATACTCTGTTCATGAGAAACCTCAGGCATCTCAACAAGGCGAGGAAAACCATCATCCTCACTGACATCAGACACAATCACAGGCTGAACTACAACACATGCACTGATTGGTGGAAGTGGGGATGACACGGCTAAGGATCCCCTTCTCGCTGGGCAGGGAAGCCCTGGGGCCTCCAATGAGAGTTTAGAGGTGGTTCTTGGGGCGGAGAGGTCTCCCGGGGTCATGCCTGTCCCTCGGTGTGTGGCAATGGTATGCAAAAAAAAAAGTGTGTCCAGAAAACTGAACGTGTGTCCAGGAGGATAGCTAACAGCATCTGGAAGGAAAAAGGGCACCACAAGGAGCTGTCCAGTCACCATGACTGAAGGAAAGAAGCCTCCTTTTTTCCTATGTCCCTCCTCTAAGCCAAGCCTTATGAGGTCCTCTCACTCCCCACCTGTTGCAAGCAGTTTATTTGAAGGATATATCTAAACAAAGCAATAAAAAGGATAGAAACAGTATAGTATTTTCCAAAGGTAACGAACAGTCCATGAACTTCAACGTACAAATGTAGAAACACAAAATCCAAGGATGCAAAATCCAAAAGAACAAGACAGCATGGAGCTAAAATCCTTCCCTCGTCTCATATAAAGCTTTTCCTGTCACATGAAATGAAAGGAAAACATTCCTTTTGCCTTTACATCCAGATAAGGATACCCAGAACAGGAACCTGGCAACACCTGAAACATGAAACTAGAGATGGTTTTAAAAAGTGTATTTTAATGCTGAGATAAATGTTTTTAATGTTTATGTATATATATAAAGAATTCTTGTCCGGGCATTGAATGTTTGCTGTATATATGCTGTGCTCCACTCTGAGTACCCTTTGGGGTGAGAAAGGCGGAATATAAATGTTTTAAATAAACAAACAAACAAATAAATAAATCCATTTGGAAACAAGACCGTCATGAAAATTAACATTGACGAGACTGAACTAAAATCCTTTCCCCGTCTCATATAAAGCTTTTCCTGTCCCATGAAATGAAAGGAAAACATTCCTTTCGCCTTTACAACCAGATAACGATTTCTTATCTCTCTTTTCTAGCAGACAGGCTGACATTCGGCGATCTCGAGAACTTTGCCTTAGTTTACAAAAGTCTTGTTTTCTATCTTCAAACTTATTAAATTCTGCACCTGACAAATCATTCTCAGAAGACAGTTGGTCAGAGAAAGACTGCTGTGGGCCCCTCCCAGGAATTTGATCTTGGGAATCTACAAGAGAAGCACTCTATTCATAAGAAACCTTGGGCATCTCAATAAGGCCTGAACTTGGCTCACTCCCATAAAACCCTCATCCCCATTGATATCAGACACGGGCCCAGAGAACGATTATCCCCAATGACATCAGACACAATCACAAGCTGAACTACAACAGAAGGATGGAAGCCCCCTTTTTCCTATGTCCCTTCTCTAAGCCAAACTCAACCCCACCTCGTCACAGAGCCCTTTGCACACTGTCCACCACTTCTTGCGGTGGAATTGGACCATGAGACCCTGCCTCCATTTCCCTTCATGCCTTAACCCCTGCCTCACTAGGATATGTGGCGAAGGTGCTCGCTTCCCTCCCGCACAAGCCCCATACCTCACTCTCCAGCGGAGCTGGCGTGGTTTGGACAACAGGCACGGAGCCCTGAGCCCAGCAGTCCGTGATGCCGGGCACTGGCTCCTCGTCCTCCTGCCAGGCCGAGTCCGTCGGCACATCCGCCTCACCTTCGTCCCGCACCAGGAAGCGCCACTCGATGATCTGGATCATGGCCTCTCGGGCCTGGTTGATGACGTAGGGGATGCACTGGGGAGATCAAGCAGGAAAGCGGGTGAACGCAATGCAGAGGCAGGAAGGACAACACAAAGGACAGAGGCGTCCTAATGACCTAGGTCCCCAGCAAACCATGTTCAAATAGGCAGGGAAAACCAACCCATCTAAAACACAGACATGTGCCTTTCATCTCAAGAACAGAGAAGCATCCCGAGCTCTGAGGATCACCTGGGAAGGAATCTCACTGGAGCATTGCAGCGGACCCACATACCTGGGAGTCACTCTGGACCGTGCTCCGACCTACAAGAAGCACTGCCTGAACATCAAGCAAAAAGTGGGTGGCAGAAACAATATCATATGAAAGCTGACTGGCACAACCTGGGGATCACAACCAGACACAGTGAAGACATCTGCCCTTGCGCTGTGCTACTCTGCTGCTATGCATGCCCAGTGTGGAACACATCTCACCACACTAAAACAGTGGATGTGGCTCTTAGTGAGACATGCCGCATTATCACATGGTGTCTGCGCCCTACACCACTGGAGAAATTACACTGCCTAGCCGGTATTGCACCACCTGATATCCGCCGGGAAGTAGCAACCAATAGTGAAAGGACCAAGGCAGAGACATCTCCAGCTCATCCTTTGTTTGGGTATCAGCCAGCACATCAACGACTTAAATCCAGACATAGTTTCCTAAGATCTACAGAGACACTCGCTGGAACGCCTCAGCAAGCGAGAGTCCAAAAATGGCAGGCTCAAACCAAGCACTTCAACAAATGGCTGATACCAAATGAGAGACTCCCCCCTGGGCACACAGAGGACTGGGCGACTTGGAAGGCGCTGAACAGACTGCGCTCTGGCACCACGAGATGCAGAGCCAACTCGACATGCGAGTGTGGAGAAGAACAAACCACTGACCACCTGCTGCAATGCAACCTGAGCCCTGCCACATGCACAATGGAGGACCTTCTTACGGCAACACCAGAGGCACTCCAAGTGGCCAGATACTGGTCAAAGGACATTTAATCAACTACCAAACTCACACATTTTGTATTTTCTCTGTTTGTTTGCTTTGTTCTGAAAGAAATGTAATATAATTGACTGGCTGCCCTGACACGAGAAATAAATAAATAAATAATGTTCAAATGCCAAGTCTCCAAGGGAATATTAGGAAGAAGAGGTCCCTAAGGTGAAAGACCGGGAAAGTGGAAGCTGGTGGATCCTCCGTCCTTGGAGACTGGGTGCCCCTCTTCTCAGAGTTGCTTTGGCAGACTAGTTGGACTAGGTGACCTTTAGGAGCCCCTTCCAAACATCCCATGCTGCAAACTTTCCTCCCTCATTCCCTCTGGAGCCAGGACGAATCCTTGCTTAGTGAAAACAGCAAGTCGCCAACTGCCTCTGTAGAAAATATTATTATTATTATTGTTTGTTTGTTTGTTTGTTTGTTTATTTGTCGTGTCAGGGCAACCAGTTAATTGTATTACATTTCTAACAGAACAACACAAACAAACAGACAAAACACAAAATTTGCAAGTTTGCAAGCTTGCAAGTTATGTATGTATAATGTTATGTATAATAATAATAATAATAATTTGAAGAAGAAGAAACTTGCAAATTATTACTATTATTATTATTATTATTATTATTATTATTATTATTATTATTATTATTATTATACATAACAAAATGAGTACACAGAAAACAAGATCTCACTGCTGGCTTTTGAATTCGATTACAGGTTGGACACTTCCCAAGTGTCTAGGATTGTGCGATGTACCGGCAAATAATGCGTGTAGATCCGAGTAGGATGGCCTTCTGCAGCTGGCAGATGGTAATTTTGTCAGTGCCCATTGTTTTTAAGTGCAGGCCAAGGTCTTTAAGCGCTGCACCCAGTGTGCCGATCACCACTGGGATCCCCTTGATTGGCTTGTGCCAGAGTCTTTGCAGTTCGATATTTAGAACCTCATGTCGTGTAATATTTTCAGTTGCTAGGTTCTTGTGGGTTTTTTCGAGCTATATGGCCATGTTCTAGAGGCATTTTTCCTGATGTTTCGCTTGCATCTATGGCAAGCATCCCCAGAGGCAAGCATCCCCAGAGGTACCTCTAGGGATGCTTGCCATAGATGCAGGCGAAACGTCAGGAAAAATGCCTCTAGAACATAGCCATATAGCCCGAAAAAACCCACAAGAACCTAGTGATTCCAGCCATGAAAGCCTGCGACAATACATTTCAGTTGCTTCTCATCAATCCTGCTGTCACCTGGGTTTGCAACATCGATTATCCACACTTTGTGTTTTCCCATGATTGTGAGGTCAGGAGTATTGTGCTCCAGAACTCTGTCTGAATTCAGAAGTTTCAGAGGAGTTTGGGGTATTCATTCTCTGTAACTTTTTCCGGCTTGTGATCCCACCAGTTCTTTGTTGCAGGCAGATGGTGTTTGTGGCACAAGTTCCAATGGATCATCTGAGCAAGGGTGTTGGGCCTCTGCTTGTAGTCTGTCTGCGCAATCTTCTTGCAGCAGCTCAGGATGGGATCTACTGTTTCATCTGCTTCCTTGCAGAGTCTACACTTGGGATCTGTCGTCAACTTTTCAATTCTGGCTTTGGTGGCATTGGTTCGAATGGCTTGTTTTTGGGCTGCCAGAATCAAACATCCATGCTGCAAAAACCCTTCCTTGCCTTCCTCATCCCCTCTGGAGGCAGGATGAATCCTTGCTTGGTGAAAACAGCAACTCACCAAACTTTTGGGCAGGACCAGAACCAATTGCCTCTATAGAGGATATTATTATTATTGGGTTGTTGTAGGTCTTTTTCCGGGCTATATGGCCATTGTCTAGAGGCATTCTCTCCTGATGTTTCGCCTGCATCTATGGCAAGCACCCTCAGAGGTAGTGAGGTCTGTTGGAAATGGGACAATGGGTTTATATATCTGTGGAATGACCAGGGTAGGACAAAGGACTCTTGTCTGCTGGAGCTAAATGTGAATGTTTCTACTGACCACCTTGATTAGCATATAATGGCCTGACAGTGCCTGGAGCAAACTTTTGTTGAGAGGTGATTAGATGTCCTTGTTTGTTTCCTCTCTGCACCAACAAGCCACACCAAACAACTGCCAGGCCATCAAATGCTAATCCAGGTGGTCAGTTGAAACATTCCCACCTAGCTCCAGCAGACAAGAGTCCTTTGTCCCACCCTGGTCATTCCACAGATATATAAACCCATTTTCCTAGTTACAACAGACCTCACTACCTCTGAGGATGCTTCCATAGATGCAGGCGAAACGTCAGGAGAGAATGCCTCTTGACCATGGCCATATAGCCCGAAAAAACCTACAACAACCCAGTGATTCCGGCCATGAAAGCCTTCGACAATATACTATTATTATTATTATTATTATTATTATTATTATTACATTGTTATTGTTGTTATTATTATTATTATTATTATTATTATTATTATTATTATTACATTATTACTGGAGGGAAATGTAGGGAAAGTGGAAGGAAAAACGAAGAGGGGCTGACCAAGGGCAAGATGGATGGATGGCATCCTTGAAGTGACTGGATTGACCTTGAAGGAGCTGGGGGTGGTGACGGCTGACAGGGAGCTCTGGCATGGGCTAGTCCAGGAGGTCACCAAGAGTTGGAAATGACTGAATGAATGAACAACAACAACGTTATTATCACATTGTTGTTATTATATCATTATATTATTATTACTACTACTACTACTACTACTACTACTACTACTACTACTATTATCGGGCCACATTGTCCGAATGCCCAATCACCATCTCCCAAAGTAGTTACTATACTCCCAACTCAAGAACTGGAAATGGAATGTTGGTGGACAGGGAAAGAGATTGAAAGATGGGTTTAAAGCCAACCTTTAAAACTCTGGCATAGACACCGAGAACTGGGAAGCCCTGGCCCTTGGGCATTCCAGTTGGAGGTCAGCTGTGACCAGCAGTGCTGCAGAATTTGAATAGGCATGAATGGAAGGTGAAAGAGAGAAATGTTCCAAGAGGAAGGCATGTCAAGCCAACCCTGATCAAGACCGCCTCGCACCTGCAAAGCAATGTCCTCACTGCGGGAGAACATGCAGGTCAAGAATAGGACTCCACAGTCACCTATGGACCCACCGCTAGGACACTACACTTGGAGGACCATCATCCTCGGACTACGAGGGATCACCTAAGTAAATAAAGTAAGTAAGTAAGCATATAAACCCCAATTTTCCTAGTTTCCAGCAGACCTCAACCTGTGAGGATGCCTGCCATAGATGCAGGTGAAACGTCAGGAGAGAATGCTTCTGGAACATGGCCAGGCAGCCCGGAAAATTCACAACAACTCATTAAATAAATAAACAAACAAAATAAAGAGGCAAAAATTCTTAAATGAACAGACTGAACAAACTATAAACAGCTACACAAGTTAAAACAAGATGTCAAAGATCCCTTGGATTGGGTTTCTGTGGGTTTTCCGGGCTGTATGGCCGTGTAGCATTCTCTCCTGATGTTTCACCTACATCTATAGCAGGCATCCTCACGGGTTTGTTCAGAGGTCAAACCCAGCCATGAAAGCCTTCGACAGTGCCTTGGGTTGTTTTGAAAGCATGTAAAACAATGGCACAGATTTGGACAGAACCTATTGGGTGCCAAGGGCTTTTCAAGGGCTTAGGGGTGTGGTCCACAACTGGGTGCCAATACAGAGAAGACCCCGCCAAGCGTGACCCCCAGCCTCACTTTGTAGGCTATGGTCTCCCTAGGGAGAAGCCTACATGCCCGATTCTGACCCTCAGGGTCACTTTTCCTGCCCCCCAAAGAGCACCACCCCGGCTTAGGAGTGTGGTCCACAACTGGGTGCCAATACAGAGAAGACCCCGCCAAGCGTGACCCCAGCCTCACTTTGTAGGCTATGGTCTCCCTAGGGAGAAGCCTACATGCCCGATTCTGACCCTCAGGGTCACTTTTCCTGCCCCCCAAAGAGCACCACCCCGGCTTAGGAGTGTGGTCCACAACTGGGTGCCAATACAGAGAAGACCCCGCCAAGCGTGACCCTCCAGCCTCACTTTGTAGGCTATGGTCTCCCTAGGGAGAAGCCTACATGCTTGATTCTGACCCCCAGGGTCACCTTTCCTGCCCTCCAAAGGTGCCCTTACTCATGTAGACCCCCACCCCGTCCCACCCACCTTGCGGGCCCAAGAGAGGCATCTCACCTGTCGCTGCAGGTAGACCTTGTAGCATTCCTCCATGACCTGGTCCAGCATCACGGACAGGAGGTCTCCCACGCTGTCTTCCGCCTCCTCGAAGGAGAGCATGGACACCCAGTCGCTTTCGGACAGGCGCCCGGGCACGATCTCCACCTGCGGGACGGGTACCGTGGGTGGACGGGAGCGCTCTGCCCGCGACTTGGCTTGGGCCACACGGTCTCGGGAGGCCATTTTCTGCAAGGGGGGCAAACAGAAGGGGTCACTCAGCACCAAGACTGGGGAGCAAGAAGCCCAAGGTGCTGCAAGGCAGGGCTGTTCTGTCCCACGCCAACCACTCTCCGGGCAATGCGTATCCGGTTGCCTGGCGACCCAAGAACCCTGATTATGACAACCTCAAAGGCCAGGACTCCGAGTCCAGCGTCCAGCAGAGGGCATTCCAGACCACAAAACCCCCTGCCAGAAGCGAATGGGGAAATATAGGGGTGTGGAGTCCAGTCTCCAGCCTTCTTGGGAAGGGAATTGGGAAAGCAGTAGCCAGAAGTGCTGTGGACAGAAGCAGGAAAAGGGCCAGGTCCTGACCCCAGGTAGCTGCCCAGCTCTGACAAGTAGCCTTGTAGTGCAGGTATGGGAGACCCAGGCACAGGGCTCTTTTCTCAGGCCCTCCTCTCTATCACCATCCTATCCTTCCTTTCTTCCCTCTTTCTCCCTTTCTCCATTTCCTTCCACCTTTTCATCCTTTCTTCCTTCTCTCTTTCCATTTTCCATCTCTTCCTCCCTTCCCTCCCTTCCTTTTGTCTTTCCTTTTCCTCTCTTTCCTCTTTTCTTCCTCTCTCCCTCCTCCTTCCTCTCTCCATTCCCTTCCACCCTTCCGTCCTTCCCTTCCTTCCTTCTCTCCCTCTTTTCCTCTCCTTCCCTCTTTTCCTCCTCTTTTTCCTCTCTCTCTCTCCTTCCTTCCTTCCTCCTTCCTTCCCTTCCTTCCTTCCTTCCTTCCTTTTGTCTTTCCTTCCTCCTCCTTCCTTCCTCTTTTCTCTCCTTTTTTTCTCTTCCTTCCTTCCCCTCTTTTCCTCCCTCTCTCTCTCTCCTTCCTTCCTTCCTTCCTTCCTTCTTCCTTCCTTCTTCCTTCCTTCCTTTCCTCTTCCTTCCTTCTCTTTCCTTCCTCCCTTCCTTCCTTCCTCTTTTCTTCTCTCCCTCTCTTTCCTTCCTTTCCTTCCCTCTTTTCCTCCCTCCTTTCTTCCTCTCCTTCCTTCCTTCTTCCTTCCTTCTCTTCCTTCCTTCTCCTTTTTCTTTCCTTCCTTCTCTTTCATCCTCCCTTCCTTTCCTTCTTTTCATCCCCTCCATCTCTCTTCCTTCCTTCCTTCCTTCCTTCCTTCCTTCCTTCCTTCCTTCCTTCCTTCCTTCCTTCCTTCCTTCCTTCCTCTTTTCTTTTTTCTTTCCTTCCTTCTCTCTTTCCTCCCTCCCTCCTTCTGTTCATTCCTTCCTTCTCTTTTTCCTTCCTCCTTTCCTCCTTTCTTCCTTCTCTCCCTCTTCTCCTCTCCTTCCTTCTCCCCCTTTCGTCCCTTCCTTCCTTCTCTTCTCCTCCTTCCTTCCTTCCTTCCCTCTTTTTCCTCTCTCTCTTTCTCTCTCTCTCCTTCGTTCCTTTTGTCTTTCGTTCCTCTTTCCTTCCTCCTTCCTTCCCTCTTTTCCTCTCTTCTCTTTCTCTCTCCTTCCTTCCTTCCTTCCTTCCTTCCTTCCTTCCTTCCTTTTGTCTTTCCTTCCTTCTCTCTTTCCTCTCTCCCTCCCATCCTTCTTAGCCAGAAGTGCTGTGGACAGAAGCAGGAAAAGGGCCAGGTCCTGACCCCAGGTAGCTGCCCAGCTCTGACAAGTAGCCTTGTAGTGCAGGTATGGGAGACCCAGGCACAGGGCTCTTTTCTCAGGCCCCCCTCTTTCTCGCCATCCTATCCTTCCTTTCTTCCCTCTTTCTCCCTATCTCCATTCCCTTCCACCCTTTCATCCTTCCTTCCTTCTCTCTTTCCATCCTCCTTCCTTCCTCTCCTCTTTCCCTCTTTCTCTTCTTCCTTCCTTCCTTCCTTCCTTTCCTTCTTCCTCTTCCTTCCTTCTCCTTTCCTCTCTTCCTCCCTCCCTTCTTTTCCCTCCTTCTCCCTCTCCTCTCCCTCCACCCTTTCATCCTTCCTTCTTCTCTTTTCCTTCCTTCCTTCCCTTCCTTCCCTTTCTCTCCTTCCTTCCTCCTTTCTTCTTCTTCTCTCTTTCCTCCCTCCCTTCTTTCCCTCCTTCTCCCTCTCCATTCCCGTCCACCCTTTCATCCTTCCTTCCTTCTCTCTTTCCATCCTCCTTCCTTCCCTCTCTCCCTCTTTCTCTCTTCCTCCTTCCTTCCCTCCCTTCCATTTTGTCTTTCTTTCCTCTCTTCCTCCCCCCTTCCTTCTCCCTCCTTCTCCCTCTCCATTCCCTTCCACCCTTTCGTTCTTCCTTCTCTCTTTCCTTCCTTCCTTCCCTCTTTTCTTCTCGCCCTCTTTTTCTCCTTCCCTCTTTCCCTCTCTCCCTCTTTCTCTCTTCTTCCTTCCTTCCTTCCCTCCCTCCCTCCCATTTTGTCTTTACTTCCTTCTCTCTTTCCTCCCTCCCTTCCTTCTCACCCTCCTTCTCCCTCTCTCCATTCCCTTCCACCCTTTCGTCTTTCCTTCCTTCTCTTTCCTTCCTCCTTCCTTCCCTCTTTTCTTCTCTCCCTCTTTCTCTCTCTCCTTCCTTCCCTCTTTTCCTCCCTCTTTCTCTCTCTCTCCTTCCTTCCTTTTGTCTTTCCTTCCTTCTCTTTCCTTCCTCCTTCCTCACCTCTTTTCCTCTCTCCTCTTTCTCTCTCCTTCCTTCCTTCCTTCCTTCCTTCCTTCCTTCCTTCCCTCCCTCCCTCCCTCCCTCCCTCCCTCCCTCCCTTCCTTTTGTCCTTTCCTTCCTTCTCTCTTTCTCCCTCCCTCTCCTTCCTCCTTCCCTTCTTTTCCTCTCCTCTTTCTCCTTCCCTTCCTTCCTCTCTCCTCTTTCTCTCTCCTTCTCTCCTTCCCTCTTTTCCTCTCTCCCTCTTTCTCTCTCTCCTTCTTCTTCCTTTTTCTTTTCCTCCTTTTCTCTTCCTCCTTCCTTCCCTCTTTTCCTCTCTCCTCTTTTCTCTCTCTCCTTCCTTTTTCCTTCTTCTCTTTCCTTCCTCTTCCCTCTTTTTCCTCTCTCTTTCCTTCCCTCTTTTCCTCCTCCTCTCCCTCTTTCTCTCTCTCTCCTTCTTCTTTTGTCTTTCCTTCCTTCCCCTTTCCTCCTTCCCTTTTTTCTCTCCTTCCCTCCTTCTTCTTTCTCCCTCCCTCCTTCCTTCCTTTCTTCTTTCTTCTCTCTCTCTCTCCTCCCTCCCTCCCTTCCTTCTCTCCCTCCTTCTCCCTCTCTCCGTTCCCTTCCACCCTTGTGTCTTTTCTGGTTTAAAACTGGCTTCTCTGGCTTGAGCCGAGGCCAGGGACCAGAAGCGGGGAAAAGCTGAATCATTTCCGACTCACCTCATGAATCGTAACAAAAATGGTGGAAAAAGCTTTGGAAGGGCGAAGGGACTTCCGGTTTCCTTAAAAACTTCAAAATCGCTTCAAAAAGGTAATTTTTCCGATTTTATTCCGAATTAGGAAGATTCCGATGGTACCTAATCATGCCTCCTATGGACCAAGTGGGGGTACCGCAAGCCACTTTGAGTCTCCTTGTAGAAAAAAAGTGGGGTATAAACATAATAATGGCTTGCTGTGAGTTTTCCAGGCTGTCTGGCCATGTTCCAGAAGCATTCTCTCCTGACATTTCACCTGCATCTATGGCAGGCATCCTCAGAGATTGTGAGGTCCGTTGGAAACTAGGCAAGTGTGGTTTATATATCTGAGGAAGATCCGGGGTGGGAGAAAGACCTCTTGTCTGCTGGAGGCAAGTGTGAGTGTTGCAACTGATCATTTTGATTAGCATTAAAAAGCCTTGCAGCTTCAAGGCTTGGCTGCTTCCTATTTTTGCGGGACTTGCTCTAGTTTATATGATATTATAATTATAAGATATTATATAATTATATAATATATATTATATATTAAAATGTATTATAATTATATATTATATATTAAAATGTATTATAATTATATATTTTATATTGCGTGTAATATTGCTAATAATATTACAATATTACGGATCTGGACCAAACTTGGTACACAGACCCACTGTGACCAACTCTAAATACTAGCAAAATTGACTCACGATGTTGGGAGTTGTAGTTCACCTACATCCATAGAGCTTTGTGAACACAACCAAGGATGGATCTGGACGAAACTTGGCTCACAGACCCACCATGCCCACCTCTAAGTACTGGAAAGGTTTAGGGGGGAAAGTTGACCCACGATGTTGGAAGTTGTAGTTCACTCGAATCCAGAGAGCACTGCAACCCCCATCAATGATGGATCTGGACCAAACTTGGCACGCCGACCCACTATGACCAACTTTAAATACTGGCAAAGTCCAGAGAGGGGGAGAATTGACTCACAATGTTGGGAGTTGTAGTTCACCTGCATTGTGAACATAACCGAGGATGGATCTGGACAAAACATGACATGCATACCAACCATGCCCAACTCTAAGTACTGGCAAAATTTGGGGGGAAAGTTAACCCACTACATTGGGAGCTGTAGTTCACCCACATCAATAGAGCATTGTGAACACAACCGACAATGGATCAGGACCAAGCTTGGCACACAGACCCGCTATGACCAACTCTAAATACTGGCAAGGTTTGGGGGAAACTGGCTCACAACGTTGGGAGTTGTAGTTCACCTGAATCCAGAGAGCATTTCAACCCCCACCAATGATGGATCTGGACCAAGCTTGGCATGCTGACCCACTATGACTAATTCGAAATATTGGCAAGGTTTGGGGGAAATTGACTCACGACATTGGGAGTTGTAGTTCATCCGACTCTGGAGAGCACTGCGATCTCCACCAATGACAGATCTGGACCAAACTTGGCACACAGACCCATTATGACCAACTCTAAATACTGGCAAATTGACTCACGATGTTGGGAGTTGTAGTTCACCTACATCCATAGAGCATTGTGAACATAACCGAGGATGGATCTGGACCAAACTTGGCACACAGACCCACCATGCCCAACTCTAAATACTGGCAAGGTTTGGGGGAGATTGAACCACGATGTTGGGAGTTGTAGTTCACCCGTCTTCAGAGAGGACTGTGACCTCCACCAATGACGGATCTGGACCAAACTTGACATGCTGACCCACTATGACTATTTCTAAATACTGGCAAGATTTGGGGGAAATTGACCCACGACGTTGGGAGTTGTAATTCACCCAACTTTGGAGAGAACTGAGACCCCCACCAATGACGGATCTGGACCAAACTTCATACAAAGACCCACTATGACCAACTCTAAATACTGGCAAGGTTTGGGGGAAATTGACTCACGACATTGGGAGTTGTAGTTCACCCAACTTCGGAGAGCACTACGACCTCCACCAATGACAGATCTGGACCAAACTTGGCACACAGACTCACTATGACCAACCTTAAATACTTGCAAGGTTTGGGGGAATTTGACTCACGACGGTGGGAGTTGTAGTTTACCCGACTTCGGAGAGCACTGTGACCCCCACCAATGATGGATCTGGACCAAACTTGGCACACAGACCCACTATGACCAACTCTAAATACTGGCAAATTGACTCATAATGTTGGGAGTTGTAGTTCACCTACATCCATAGAGCATTGTGAACATAACCGAGGATGGATCTGGACCAAACTTGGCATGCTGACCCACTATGACTAATTCTAAATACTGGCAAGATTTGGGGAAAATTGACCCACGACTTTGGGAGTTGTAGTTCACCCGACTCAAGAGAGCACTGCAACTCCCACCAATGACGGATCTGGACCAAACTTGGCACACAGACCCACTATGACCAACTTTACATACTGGCAAGGTTTGGGGGAAATTGACCTACGAAGTTGGGAGTTGTAGTTCACCCACATCAATAGAGCATTGTGAACCCAACCGAGGAGGGATCTGGAGCAAACATTTTCCAGTTTGGTTACAGAGTATTCTCTCTAATAAGTATTTATTATGATTAACTACATTTCTAGACCGCTTTTCTCATCCCTGGGGGGACTCAAGGCGGTTTGCAACATAAACAATGGCAAATTCAATGATTCACATATATAAAAAAAAATCACATAACATATAACTGTAGATAAAAGTGTTAAAACTATAAAAATATCAAACATAAGACATAATTAGACAAGCACACGCAGAGGTGCAAGGAAGCAGGGAAATTTATTGGGTGGCTTGGTCCTCTGCTGCTTTAACACATTAGGCTTCACTGCGCATGCGCACAATAATACCTTATTTCCCCACCCAACATAGTAGGCTTCACTGCGCACGCGCACAACAATCCCTTATACTTCCGCCACCCTCCGCCGTTCGCCACGCCCCTCGCACCCTATAGGCTGAACCGGCCTTCTGGGGCGGGGCTTCCGGTACCTCTTCGGCTCCGTCGGCGCTCCCCGTGGCCCCGCCCCCTCTGCGTCGCGTCACCGCGGCAACCGCCGCCGCCGCCGCCCACATACGTACGCCTGCCTTCCGGACGTCATTCCGCCCTTGCGCCGTCTCCATGGCAGCGGGGAGGACGGGAAGGAGGCGAAGGGAGAAGCAAGGCAGGCAGGCCGCGGCAGGGAGAGGCCTCAGCCCAGCCTGGGAGTGAAGGCCGCAAGCGTCGCTGCTGCTGCTGGCCACGCCCCCTCGCCGCGAGACGGGCTCCCATTGGCCGACTCCTTCCCTCCCTCCCTCCCTCGCTCGCTCGCGCGCGCTTGGAAGCCACGCCCACTCCTGTTGAGGCAACGCGCGCCCTGCGAGGTAGGCCAGAAATAATAATAATAATAATGATAATATATTATAATAATAATAATAATAATAATATATACAATATGAAATAAAATAATAAAATATAATAAAATAATAATAATATTTAAAATAAATAATAATATAAATAATATAAATAATAATATAAATAATAATAATAAAATAATATATAAAATAATAAAATAATAATAAAATAATAATATATAATATATAATAATAATATATAATAATAAAAATAATAAAATAAAATAATAATAATATAAATGATAATAATAATATAATAATAATAATATAATAATAATATAATATAATAATAATAATTATTATTATTATTGATGTGCGAATATTGTGTATCATGCTTTTATGGTTTTAAATTGTATACTGTTGATTGTTGTATTTTGTTGTAAACTGCGTTGAGTCGCCAGCTAGGCTGAGAAACAGCGGTATAAATAAATAAATTAATAAAAGAAGAAGAAGAAGACTAGGCCAGAAATAATAATAATAATAATAATATAAAATAAAATAATAAAAATATGATGATAATAATAATAATAATAATAAAATATAAAAATATAATATAATAATAATAATAATAATAATAATAATAATTAGTAAAAGAAGAAGAAGAAGAGTAGGCCAGAAATAATAATAATACTAATAATATAAAATAAAATAATAAAAATATGATAATAATAATAATAAAATAATAAAAAATATAAAAATATAATATAATAATAATAATAATAATAATAATAATAATAATTAGTAAAAGAAGAAGAAGAAGAGTAGGCCAGAAATAATAATAATACTAATAATATAAAATAAAATAATAAAAATATGATGATAATAATAATAATAAAATAATAAAAAATATAATAATAATATAATAATACTAATAATAATAATAATTAGTAAAAGAAGAAGAAGAAGAGTAGGCCAGAAATAATAATAATACTAATAATATAAAATAAAATAATAAAAATATGATAATAATAATAATATAAAATAATAATAAAAATATAATAATATAATATAATAATTATAAAAATAAAATAATATAAAATAATAATAAAAATATAATAATAAAATAAAATAATAATAATATAATAATATAATAATATTAATAATTAATAGAAGAAGAAGAAGTGTAGGCCACAAATAATAATAATAATAACAACAATAATAATAACAATAATATATAATATAAAATAAAATAATAATAAAATAATATAATAAAAAATAATAATAAAATAATAATAATAATTAATAAAAGAAGAAGAAGAAGAGTAGGCCAGAAATAATAATAATGATAATATAAAATAAAATAATAAAAAAATAAAATAATAATAATATAATATAATAATAATAATATATAATAATAATTAATAGAAGAAGAAGAAGAAGAAGAAGAAGAAGAAGAAGAAGAAAAGTAGGCCAGAAATAATAATATAATATAAAATAATAATAATAATATAATAATAATAATAAAATATAATAATAATAATAATAATAATAATATAATAATAATAATTAATAAAAGAAGAAGAAGAACAGTAGGCCAGAAATAATAATAATAATATAAAATAATAAAATATAATAATTATAATAATAATAATAATAATAATAGAAGAAATGTAGTGCTGGAATTAAAACACCTGCCTTGCTGTGAGTTTTCCGGGTTGCCTGGCCATGTCCCAGAAGCATTTTCTCCTGATGTTTCGCCCACATCTGTGGCAGGCATCCTCAGAGGTTGTGGGGTCTGTTGGAAACTAGGAAAAATGGGGTTTATATACCTGTGGAATGATGTCCAGGTTGGGAGAAAGAACTCTTGTGTGAATGTTTCAATTGGCCACCTTGATATGTATTTAAATGGCCTAACAGTTTCAAGGTCTGGCTTCTTACTGCCTGAGTATTTAAAGAAAAACTCCAAAATCATAACTGGTAATAAAGGACAACACTCAAAAATGGGAATTCCAGACAAGAAGCAATCAGAGCAGTAAGAAGCCAGACCTTGACACTCCAGGCAGTAAGAAGCCAGACCTTGACACAGCTAGGCCACTAAATGCTAATCAAGGTGGCCAATTGAATGGACTAGCGGTGTCTCTGTAGAAAGAATTCTTGTCTCTTTGAGGTAGGTGCGAATGTTTCAATTGGCCACCTTGATATACATTTAATGGCCTAGCAGTTTCAAGGTCTGGCTTCTTACTGCCTGAATATTCACACCTGACCCAAACAGATAAGGGTTTTTTCCCCCTATTCTGGACATTCCACTGCTGCTTTGGGCCAGAGTGAAGTGAGAGGGGGCCAGGAAGTCTCTTGTGCTGTGCTTATTTATTTATCGTGTCAGGAGCAAACCAAACAGTTGTATTGCATTTTTTAACAAACAAGCACACAAACAAAACACAAAGTTTGCAAGCTTGGCAGTTGATTAAATGTCCTTTGACCAGTATCTGGCCACTTGGAGTGCCTCTGGGGTTGCCGCAAGAAGGTCCTCCCTTGTGCATGTGGCAGGACTCAGGTTGCATTGCAGCAGGTGGTCAGTGGTTTGCTCTTCTCCACACTCGCATGTCGTGGATTCCACTTTGTGGCCCCATTTCTGAAGGTTGGCTCTGCATCTCGTGGTGCCAGAGCGCAGTCTGTTCAGCGCCTTCCAAGTCCCAGCAGGGAGTCTCTCATTTGGGAGTCTCTCATCTGGTATCAGCCATTGATTGAGGTGCTGGGTTTGAGCCTGCCACTTTTGGACTCTCGCTTGCTGAGGTGTTCCAGAGTGTCTCTGTAGATCTAAGAAAACTATTTCTTGATTTAAGTCGTTGACGTGCTGGCTGATACCCAAACAGGGGATGAGCTGGAGATGTCTCTGCCTTGGTCCTTTCACTATTGGCTGCTACTTCCCGGCGGATGTCAGGTGGTGCAATACCGGCTAAGCAGTGTAATTTCTCCAGTGGTGTAGGGCGCAGACACCCCGTGCTAATGTGGCATGTCTCATTAAGAGCCACATCCACTGTTTTAGCATGGTGAGATGTGTTCCACACTGGGCATGCATACTCAGCAGCAGAGTAGCAAAGCGTAAGGGCAGATGTCTTCACTGTGTCTGGTTGTGATCCTCAGGTTGTGCCAGTCAGCTTGCATATGATATTGTTTCTATACAATGACAAAAAAGTTATTCTGTTTTAAGATTCCAGGCACTGAAGGATGGTCCTGAGAGGCAGGGGCACCCGGGAAGGAGACTTCTCCGGGATCTGAGGCCAGGCTGACTGAAAAGAAGCCCCCACCCCACATTCTTTGCCTCGGTTTCCCCAATTGTGGTGGTGGCAGCAGCAGCATGTACCGCAAGGAGAAGAGCATTGCGCTGAAGGAGAGCAGCCTGGCCCTCTACAACAACCTGAGTGTGCTGCCGGTCCCAGGGAAGCAGGTCACTTACTTTGCCAGCGTCCATGGCACCAGTGTCACCATGGCCAGCGCCTCTGACGACGGCCTGTCCATCTCCCACCGCCAGCTGATGGCCAAGGAGGGTGGCCTGGGCCTGGGCACCTCCCTCATCACTCAGGTAAAGGGGGCCGTGGAGGGTGGGGGGGGGGGTTGTGCTGGGCCTCGTGCCCACTCCATCGATGGCTTGCCATTGGGCAACTGCGCTGCTGCTGCTGTTCTCACCGAGAAGCCAATGTCCATCCCCTGGGGCATAAACACTGGCCAGCAAACAGAGAACGAAGTGATCAATGGAGGCAGGGGAGCAGGCAAAGGGGGGGGGGGCTCTCACAGAAAGCAATAGCAAAATCAATAATGTCCCAGGATACACAAACTCATTAGCAATCCCTTGTTGTGGCCTGTGAGTCCGATTGTCTCCCATGGGTAGGGTCGTGGCGGTGGGTCCGAAAGTGACAGCAGAGACCTATTCTGGACCCACACTCTTTATTATTGTTATTATTGGGTTGCGGTGAGTTTTTCGTGCTGTATGGCCATGCTCAGTAGCATTCTCTCCTGATGTTTTGCCTGCTTCCTATTTATTTGTCGTGTCAGGGCAACTATATTACATTTCTAACAGAACAGAGCAAACAAACAGACAAAACACAAAATTTGTGAATTTTGTAGTTGATTAAATGTCCTTTGACCAGTATCTGGCCACTTGGAGTGCTTCTGGTGTTGCTGCAAGAAGGTCCTCCATTGTGCATGTGGCAGGGCTCAGGTTGCATTGCAGCAGGTGGTCAGTGGTTTGCTCCTCTCCACACTCGCATGTCGTGGATTCCACTTTGTGGCCCCATTTCTGAAGGTTGGCTCTGCATCTCGTGGTGCCAGAGCACAGTCCGTTCAGCGCCTTCCAAGTCGCCCAGTCCTCTGTGTGCCCAGGGGGGAGTCTCTCATTTGGTATCAGCCATTTATTTATTTATTTACCTTACTTATATACCGCTGTTCTCAGCCCAAAGGCGACTCACAGCCATGGATTGAGGTTCTGGGTTTGAGCCTGCCACTTATGGACTCTCGCTTGCTGAAGTGTTCCAGCAAGTGTCTCTGTAGATCTTAGAAAACTATTTCTAGATTTAAGTCGTTGACGTGCTGGCTGATACCCAAACAGGGGATGAGCTGGAGATGTCTCTGCCTTGGTCCTTTCACTATTGGCTGCTACTTCCCGGATGTCAGGTGGTGCAATACCGGCTAACAGTGTAATTTCTCCAGTGGTGTAGGGCGCAGACACCCCGTGATAATGCGGCATGTCTCATTAAGAGCCACATCCACTGTTTTAGCGTGGTGAGATATGTTCCACACTGGGCATGCGTACTCAGCAGTAGAGTAGCACAGCGCAAGGGCAGATGTCTTCACTGTATGTGGTTGTGATCCCCAGGTTGTGCCAGTCAGCTTTCGTATGATATTGTTTCTAGCACCCACTTTTTGCTTGATGTTCAGGCAGTGCTTCTTGTAGGTCAGAGCACGGTCCAGAGTGACTCCCAGGTGTTTGGGTGCGCTGCAATGCTCCAGTGGGATTCCTTCCCAGGTGATCTTCAGAGCTCGGGATGCTTGTCTGTTCTTAAGATGAAAGGCACATGTCTGTGTTTTAGATGGATTAGGGATCAGCTGGTTTTCCATGTAGTAGGCAGTAAGAGCACCTAGAGCTTCGGAGAGCTTCTGTTCTACCATCTCAAAGTTCCCTGCTTGAGTTGTAATGAATCGATCATCAGCATAGATGAAACTCTCTGTCCCTTCTGGCAGTGGCTGGTCATTTGTGTAGATGTTGAACATGGATGGAGCAAACACGCTTCCCTGAGGCAGGCCGTTCTTCTGTTTCCGCCACCTGCTTCTCTGGCCCTGGAACTCAACAAAAAGGCTCCTGTTTTGTAGCAGGTTTCCTATGAGGCGGGTGAGATGGTAGCCTGCTTCTATTGCAAAAGTCACTTGCTTTGAACAGATAAGGATTATTTCTCCCACTCTGGACATTCCACAGATAGATTGTTCTGTCACGCGCTGGGCCTGTAAAGAATTGTCTTTAAAATAGGACGTGCAACTTGAGCCCAGCGGGAAGCCAGGGCCCCCCGAAGAGAAGCTCTCAAGGATTTTCCACCACAAATGGTCTTTAGATGGCTTGTGAAGTATAACAAAGTCCTTTATTAATGAACAATCAAACAGAAACTACTCTTGTCTTCAATAAAGTTAAACAAATGCTTCCAAGCTTTTATGCAACTGGTGGCTTCCTAATCTTGTCCACGAAGGACAGGCAGTTGTCTTCAATAACCATTTCTTTACTTTAAAGGAAAATCCCCTTTTTAACTTCTCCCAGGCTGACTGTAATCTAACCTTTACTGATGTGGGCTCCGCTACCAGGTCGAACTGCGTCTCGAGCACTGAGTGGACCTACCAGTAAAGCCAGCAGATTCTCCAGCTGGAGTTCTTTGGTCTTCCAAACTGTTTACCCTCCGAAATTCCTCAAAGCTTTAGGAAATCTTTGGAGATCTTTGGATGCTCTTAAGACTGTACTCCCCCGGAAAGTCTTAAGGTTTGAAGCTTTTGTACAGGAGAAGCTTGTACAAAGCTCTAGATTGTACAAAGCTCTAGATTGTACAAAGCTCTACATTAGCTTTCCTTACTGAGACTAACTAAAAATGGCTCCCTTCCCTTCCGAATTTCCCTGAACAAGGGGCGAAACAAGCCATCTAAAGACCATTTGTGGTGGAAAATCCTTGAGAGCTTCTCTTCGGGGGCCCTGGCTTCCCGCTGGGCTCAAGTTGCACGTCCAAAACTTAACGATGTTGGACAGGTGACTTGCCCTACGACTGCAACCAAAGGAAGCCACCTTTCTGCAGAATCCCAGGAACCTTGGACTGCAAGCAAACATTTAATACAAAGCAAATAAAGTTGGAGCTCCTGGTACAGCCATACCAGCACACAGACAGACAGACAGACAGACAGACAGATAGATAGGTAGGTGTTCTGCTTTCTGGGTTCCTGCATTAGACCCTGATCTTTCCATGGGGAGGTCTTGTGTGGGACGCCTTCTCTGTGGTGTTCCAGTGCTGCAGATTGGCCTGGCACATTCACATTCACCTCTTCCTTTCCAGGCATTGTGGTGCTCCCTCCCTTCTCGTGTCCTCCTGGTGCTGACCTCACGGAAAGGGATCCAGGTGAGAGGTGTTCCTGAGTTCAAGCCAGGCTAAGTAATCGACCCCGGAGCCTGGAACCCCAATCTACATCACCCACTCAGGAGGGTCTGTGGGCTTCCCCAATAGGCTCACTCCTCTGCCATCTCTCTCCTTTTGCTCTTTCTTCAAGATGTATGAGTCAGATGGGTCCGTTATGGTGTACTGGCACGCTCTGGAGGGCATGGAGTCGTCCTCACCAGGTACTCTTTCCTGCATGGAGTGTGTGTTTTACATTGCTGAGTTGCAGGCCTCCTGTTCTGTTGCGCGTTGGGCCTGTAAATAGTTGTCTTTAAAACAGGACGTGCAACCTTGCCCAACGGGAAGCCAGGGGGCCCAAAGAGAAGTTCTCAGAGGTTTCCACCACAAACAGTCTTTAGAAGGCTTGAGAAGTACAACAAAGTCTTTTATTAATGAACAATCAAACAGAAACTTCTCTTGTCTTCAGTAAAGTTAAGCAAATGATTCCAAGCCTTTAGGCAACTGGTGAATTCCTAATCTTGCCCACGAAGGACAGGCAACTGTCTTCAATAACTTCTTCTTTAAAGGAAAATCCCCTTTTTAACTTCTCCCAGGCTGACTGTAATCTAACCCTTACTGATGTGGGCTCCACTACTGGGTTGAACTACTTCTCGAACGCCGAGTGGACCTACCAGTAAAGGCTTAGATGTTCTCCAGCTGGAGTCCTTTGGTCTTTAGGGTTGTTTCCCTGGAAATCTTTGGAGACTCTTAAGACGGTTCTCCCCCGGAAAGTCTTGGATGCTCTTAAGACTGTTTCCCCCCGGAAAGTCTTAAGGGTTGAAGCTTTTGTACAGGGGAAGCTTGCATACATCCTGAACATTAGCTTTCCTTGCTGAGACTAACTAAAAATGGCTCCCTTCTCTTACCAAATGCCCTGAGCAAGGGGCGGGACCAAAACTTAACAATGATGGAAAGGAAGCCTGCCCTATGACTGCAACCAAAGGAAGCCACCTATCTGCAGAGCCCCTGAAACCCAGGACTGCAATTTAATACAAAGCAAATAAAGTTGGAGCTCCTGGTACAGCTGTACCAGAACAGGCGGAACTAAAGAACATAATGATAATTGATGGGTCATTGGCCCTATGATTGCAAACCAAGGGAAGCCACCTTATTGCAAAATGCATGGAACTTTGGAATACATGCAAACACTCAATAGAAAGGAAAAGAAGTTGGAGCTCCTGGTACAGCTGTACCAGCACACAAACCAATGTGCAAACGCTTCTATCATATTGGCATTAGAGGACAGTCAGTTGTCATATGCAAGGAATGCCCAAACAACCTCTGAGTGTTGGAAGTTCTTAGTCCTGTGTGCTGGGTGTTTGCACACTTCCTTGCTACACAATCTGCTCATGCAAAGAAGGTGTTGTGCAAGCACCGCTTCTACTACAAAGAGGTGGGCAGCTCAGGCAGGGCTGAGGGGGTGCTCCCACACTCTGACTGTCCCCTCCCCTCCTGTCATCTCCAGGTATGGCAGCGTTTGCGCGTGGGATTGCAGCGACTGGGAAACACTTTATCTGCATAGGTAAGCAAACAACACAGGGTAGTCATGGAATCCTGTGTTGGTGTTATCCAGGGAGGCCAAGATGTGGGCTTGATGTATGCCGGAGGGGCGAGTTGATTCCTTCAGAAAGGCACGCTGGGAGGATGGTTGTTGTGGGAGGTGGAAATTGCAAGAGGTAGGAAATAAAGATACTGTTAGGTATTCATTCAAACTATGTATCTATCGGTGGGTTGCTGTGAGTTTTCCAGGCTGTCTGGCCATGTTCCAGAAGCGTTCTCTCCTGACGTATTGTCGAAGGCTTTCATGGCCGAAATCACAGTGTTGTTGTAGGTTTTTTTTCGGGCTATATGGCCATGTTCTAGAGGCATTTTCTCCTGACGTTTCTCCCACATCCATGGCAGGCATCCTCAGAGGTTGTGAGGTCTGTTGGAAACTAGGCAAGTGAGGTTTATATATTTATTTACTATTTATTATTTATTTACAGTATTTATATTCCACTCTTCTCACCCCACAGAAGACTCAGGGTGGATTACAATGCACATATACATGGCAAACATTCAATGCCATAAACACACACCACAGACAGTCAGAGGCTATTTAACATTCCAACTTTTTCTGGCCACCAGGGGAGCTGTCGCTTCACCGTCCATCTGCAACACTGATGAAGTACTTCCTCATTCCCCACATGCTTGCTGGAGATTTATATGGCCTCGTAAATTAGTTAAATTAGCCTCCCCACATAAGTGGTACCTAAATTTCCTACTCGACAGATGCAACTGTCTTTCGGGCTGCAAAGGTCGACAACAAGCTACACAAATTGGCCGGAAGCTCACTCCGACCCAGGCTGGCTTCGAACTCATGACCTTTCAGTCAGTAGTGATCTTTGAAATTATTGTCTATATAAGAGGCGGTATTTCTGTATTCTGGTTATTCTAGCTTCTTTGTGAATGTATCACTAGCTAGGATCTTATCTGCAGATAATAAAACCTTCCTTGGTTGAAATTACCTTGGGTTGTTGTAGGGTTTTTTTGAGCTATATGGCCATGTTCTAGAGGCATTCTCTCCTGACGTTTCGCCTGCATCTATGGCAAGCATCCTCAGAGGTAGTGAGGTCTGTTGGAACTAGGAAAGTGGGTTTATATATCTGTGGAATGACCAGGGTGGGAGAAAGAACTCTTATCTGCTGGAGCTAGGTGTGAATGTTTCAACTGACCACCTTGATTAGCATTTGATGGCCTGGCAGTGCCTGGAGCAATCTTTTGTTGAGAGGAGATTAGATGTCCTTTTTAGTTTTCTCTCTGTTGTTGTGCTGTTCTAATTTTAGAGTTTTTTAATACTGGTAGCCAGATTTTGTTCATTTTCATGGTTTAAATTGTCCACATTCTCTCCTGACTTTTCGCCCACATCCTTGGCAGGCATCCTCAGAGGTTGTAAGGTCTGTTGGAAACTAGGCAAGTGAGATTAATATATCTGGAATAACATTTATATATCTGGGAGAAAGAACTCTTGTCTGCTTGAAGCAAGTGTGCATGTTGCAACGAGCCACCTTTATTATCATTGAATGGCCTTGCAGTTTCAAAGCCTGGCTGCTTCCTGCCTAGGGGAATCATTTGTTGGGAGGTGTTATGTGACGGCGCGAGTGGCGCCACCTATGTATAGAATTGTTAGTTGTAAGATTTAAACTGGTGTATCATGCTTAATCCTGCCTTTTTACCCTGCTTATGTATAGTTGTATGGATTGATTACTTGTAGCTGTCAATCAGTACTGTTTGGCTCCACCTCTTCCTGCAGGAGGGGAGTGCTTCCTTTCTTTTTCATTCTGCCATCAGAGTTCCTACCATATGGACGTGAGTAAAAGACTTGACTCTAAAGGACCCTGATTTAAGTTACCTCTTAGCACCAATTCTGAGGTCTTTTACCCTTGGGACTCATGCTTTATGTCCAGATTGTCCTGGACAACATTGAGGAGACCCAAGCGCCTTCAAACCAGTTCTTTTGGCACCAAAGGAAGATCCTGAGTCTTCAAAACATAGGCCATCTGAACTGGGGTTGTGGTTTGCTCCGGCATTCACAGCCATTGAGGAAGGAGGAAACTTGGTGAGGCTTCTCAGCTTCAAACACCTTGGACCCAGGAACAACTGAGACTGTAACGTATATTTTCCTTCACCTCTGAAGTTTCCAGCGCATTGCTTTAAAGAAATAATTCTTTGTGATCAATAAAACTTATTTTGAGTTATTTACAGCGTTTTGGGTTTTTGAGAGTTCCAGTTTCCTATAGGAGGGCAAGAAGCAATCCCCTGGGAGAAAGATGCCACGTCCATCCCTCCTTTATTGAGAGTAATAGCCCCCAAGCGCGACGGCACATGTTAGCTGGCCCTGATTGTCTGGAATTCCCCTGTTGCTCTTTATTTACTGTCCTGATATTAGAGTTTTTAAATACTGGTAGCCAGATTTTGTTCATTTTCATGGTTTCCTCCTTTCTGTTGAAATTGTCCACATGCTTTTTGTGGATTTCAGTGGCTTCTCTGTGTAGTCTGTATGCATCAATCTATCAACTCTCATGCTTCCAGGATCACCAAGGAAATTGCAGCAGGCACACAGATAGGTAGTGTAGTCCTCTGGATGCTTCTGGCCTGTAAATGCCAGTATTCCTCACTATTGGCTATGCTGGCTTAGGTGGATGATGGAAGTTGCATCCCGACTGCAACACCTGGAGAAAGACGGCAGAGTCTGGCTGGGGGAACTTAGCAAAGGTTGCCACACTCACCCTGTGCCTCCCTTCCACAGGAACATCCTCCGGGGCTGTTCTCGTCTTTGACGTTCCTTCCAAAGGCACCAACATCATGCTGAGCGAAGTCCTGAAAAAGCATGCCAGCGCCATCACGGACGTTGGGGCCGAACTGTGCGAGCAGCCGGTAAGGCGGACGGAACCCAACTGGCCAGCAAGAAGGATCCTCTTGGTCCCAGATAGGGCCACTTCTCACTGTGTGCTGGGGTAGGCCCTGGGCATTGCTGAGGAGAGGGAGTAGGTCGAAACCTTTTAGTGGGCCAAAGCTTGTGTCGTCCTGAGGAGAGTGAGTAGGCCGAAGTCTGTAAGAGTCAGTGGGCCAAAGCTAGTGTCGTCCTGAGGAGAGTGAGTAGGGCAAAGTCTGTTAGAGTTAGTGGGTCAAAGCTAGTGTTGTCCTGAGGAGAGTGAGTAGGCCGAAGTCTGTTAGTGGGCGAAAGCTCGTGTCGTCTGAGAGTGAGTAGGCCAAAGCCTGTTAGAGTCAGTGGGCCAAAACTAGTGTCGTCCTGTGGAGAGTGAGTAGGCCGAAGTCTGTAAGAGTCAGTGGGCCAAAGCTAGTGTCGTCCTGCAGAGAGTGTGTAGGCCAAAGCCTGTTATAGTTAGTGGGCCAAAGCTAGTGTCGTCCTGTGGAGAGTGTGTAGGCCAAAGCCTGTTAGAGTCAGTGGGCCAAAGCTAGTGTCGTCCTGTGAAGAGTGAATAGAGTGAATCCTGTTAGAGTCAGTGGGTCAAAGCTAGTGTTGTCCTGAGGAGAGTGAGTAGGCCAAAGCCTTGTTAATGTGCCAAAACTAGTGTCGTCCTGCAGAGAGTGTGTAGGCCAAAGCCTGTTAGAGTCAGTGGGCCAAAGCTAGTGTCGTCCTGTGGAGAGTGAGTAGGCCGAAGCCTGTTAGAGTCAGTGGGCCAAAGCTAGTGTCGTCCTGAGGAGAGTGAGTAGGCCGAAGCCTGTTAGAGTCAGTGGGTCAAAGCTAGTGTTGTCCTGAGGAGAGTGAGTAGGCCAAAGCCTTGTTAATGTGCCAAAACTAGTGTCGTCCTGCAGAGAGTGTGTAGGCCAAAGCCTGTTATAGTTAGTGGGCCAAAGCTAGTGTCGTCCTGTGGAGAGTGTGTAGGCCAAAGCCTGTTAGAGTCAGTGGGCCAAAGCTAGTGTCGTCCTGAGGAGAGTGAGTAGGCTGAAGCCTGTTAGAGTCAGTGGGCCAAAGCTAGTGTCGTCCTGAGGAAATTGAGTAGACCAAAGCCTGTTAGAGTCAGTGGGCCAAAACTAGTTTCGTCCTGAGGAGAGTGAGTAGGCTGAAGCCTGTTCGAATTAGTGGGCCAAAACTAGTGTCGTCCTGGGGCAAGTGAGTAGGCTGAATCCTATCAGTGGCCCAAGGCTACTGTCGCCCTGAGGAGCATGAATAGGCTGAAGCCTGTTGGAGTTAGTGGGCTAAAGCTAGTGACATCCTGAGGAGAATGAGTAGGCCAAAGCCTGATAGAGTTAGTGGGCCAAAGCTAGTGTCGTCCTGAGGGGTGCGAGTAGGCCGAAGCCTGTTAATGGGCCAAAGCTAGTGTCGTCCTGAGGAGTGTGAGGTAAACCTGTGTGTGAGAGAAACCTCATGTGGGTGTGCCAGAGATGTCCTACCTTCTCAGCATGTGCCCTTAGCGCCTACTAATGTGCTTTGCTGCTTTTCTGTAGCAAAACATGCAATTACAGCCAAGCTTTCTTTGTATGGTGGCTACATTTAAAATGGCCACCTGCTCACAAATGAAGACTTGGGCCAAGTCAAATGAGCCTAGGGTTTTATGCGTTTTGTTGTCTTATTACTGGTACCTTGTCCACTTTGAAACCAATCTCTAGGCAAGGCTGCCATCATGGTGGAGAGTCCCTTATAGATAATACATTGCTCCCACCACTTCAACAGAGGAAGGCAAGAAGATTATTCATGTGCTCTTTCTCTGTTACAGGAGGGATCTGCTGACCTGGTGACAGCCGATGACTCGGGTGCTTTGTGTGTTTGGTGCTCTGGAGAGAAGTTCAGGCTGGTCACCCAGATCCCAGCTTCTGAGTAAGGACTGCTCTTTATTTGTTTGTTTGTTTTGGGTGGGTGGGAGGAGGGCCTTCTCAGTGGTGGCCCCCAGCTCTGGAACTCTCTTCCTAGGAAGATCAGACTGGTACCTACCCTGTCCATCTTCCGCAAGAACTTAAAAACATGGATTTTCCGCAGGGCCTTCGATTAGGCAGTTCCAAAGAATTGGCCAATGTTACCTAAGTTTCCACACTTTAGCATGGCCCTCTGCTCTATAATTCTGACATATTAACACCTACAAATATGATTCTCCCAGCACTGACTATTTTATTTTTGAATTCTGCACTTTCTCATAGCTCTATCTAGAAATTTTGCACAAACTCAGAGCCCTCTGAACTCTGCACTTTATTGCTCAGCATTTATTAATTTTTTAATAATTCGATATGTTATATTTATTATTTGTTGGTGCACTTATTGCATTTATATGTTTTGTTTTATAATTTGATATGTTATGTTTATTATTTGTTGTATGATGCAGCATTGAATGTTGCCATCATCTCTAAGCCGCTCTGAGTCCCCTTCAGGGTTGACAAGAGCAGGGTATAAATGCAGTAAACAAATACTGTTTTTATGATGTTATGTTTTATTGTGATATGTTCTTATGTTCTTATTTTGTTTTGAGAGAAGCCTCCCACAAAGATGATAAAAAAGATCAAATCATCCAGGCGTCCCCTGGGCAACGGCCTTGCAGACGGCCAATTTTCTCACACCAGAAGCGACTTGCAGTTTCTCAAGTTGCTCCTGACACGACAAAAAAAATTGTTTTGATTGATGGTTTTAACTTTGTGTTCTTTGGGCTTGTCCCCTTGTAACCTTCCCCAAGTCCCCTAGGTAGATGGAGGTGGGGTATAAAAATAAAGTTGTCGTTTTTATTATTATTACTAGCTTGGAAACCCGGCGATGCCCGGGTTACTTGAGAAAGGCATTGTTTGTTTTGGGAAGTATGGTAATATCTCTGGATGCAGGGTGAACTACAATCCCCACCCCCTCAAACCCCTCCAGTATGTTATGTTGGCCCAGGTTATTTGAAAAAGGCACTGTTTGTTTTGGGGTGTTAGGTAATATCAGTTTGGTAATTTGTAGCCAGTCTTTCCTGTTGTTTTTATGAATGTTCCCATTAGAAAATGCATAAGGATGTAGGTGAACTGCAATTCCCAAAATCATGGGCATCTGTGGCATCTTTGGTTGGCTTCACAGTGCTCTCTGGATGTAGGTGAACTACAACTCCTCTAAATCATGGTGAATTTTTCCTAAAACTCTTGTTCAGTTGCTGATCAATTCCTATTTGTTGTGTGCCATACAAATGGGTAGGAAAGGGTTAAAGGAGAGGCAGTGGGTGGGTCATGCAAATTTGGAGAGAGAAAGGAACTCTGGGATGTCCATTCTGGAGAAAAAACCAGAACATCTAGGATGCAATGGCTCCCAAATGAAAACATTCCTTGGGAGGCTGGTGTTTGGAGAGGACATTGGCAGGGGTTGGGCGACATGTTCACCGCGCTCACTATAACCTGCAATGTTGGTTGAGTGAGTGCCTTCGGAGGATTATCAGCACTTGGAACTATAGTCTGTGCGTGGATTCAGGAGACTGTCGGTGTAAGTGGAGACCTCCTCCACATACGCACATTTTCACTTTTATTATGTGTATAGATTTGAAACACAACAAGATGAGTCCACAGCAGACACTCTGCTGGCTGTTGAATTGGATCACACGTCGGACACTTCCCAAGTGTCTAGAACTGTGTGATGTATTGGCAAATAATGGGTGCAGATCCTAGTAAGGTGGCCTTCTGCAGCTGGTTGATGGTAATTTTGCCAGTGCCAATTGTGTTTAAGTGCAGGCCAAGGTCTTTAGGCACTGCACCCAGTATGCCGATCACCACTGGGACCCCCTTGACTGGCTTGTGTCAGAGTCTTTGCAGTTCAATTTTTAAATCCTCAGCTTTTCCAGTTTTTTCTCTGCAATCCTGCTGTCACCTGGGATTGCGACATCGACGATCCATACTTTTTTTTTTAACATGATTGTGAGGTCAGGAGTATTATCCTGTCCGAATCTGGAAGTCCCAGAGGAGTTTGGCGTATTCATTCTCTTTAACTCTTTCTGACTTGTGATCCCACCAGTTCTTTGTTGCAGGCAGATGGTATTTGTGGCACAAGTCCCAATGAATCATCTGAGCAACGGTGTTGTGCCTCTGCTTGTAGTCTGTCTGCGCGATCTTCTTGCAGCAGCTCAGGATGGGATCTATTGTTTCGTCTGCTTCCTTGCAGAGTCTACATTTGGGATCTGCTATTATTATTATTATTATTATTATTATTATTATTATTATTATTATTATTATTATTATGTGCTTAGGACTTGCAAACAATTGTCCAGAGTCCCTGGGAACACTCTTCATCAGTCTGCGCCTCTTGGGCTGCCCTGATCAGAGCTGCCAGGAACAGGGACGGAGCAGAAGAAATGCAACACCGCAACTGCAGGAACAGAGCCTGCCAGTCCTGGGGGCTTCTTTGGGAACTCCTAGTGGTGTCAAGGTCTGAGATATTATCCCAACAGAAGCTGCCTTTTCTAAGCCTCTTCAGCTCTATGCTCCTTCTCAGGAGATCTTGGCAGGATTTACCTCATGTCTACTTTGAGATTCCAGGAATCGAAGTTAGGACCTTTTACTTGAAGAGCAGGGCTTCTACTTACGATCAGGCTTTAGCCCCTTCCCTCATGAAGAGCCCCTCCCACTTCTTTCCTTCCATAATAATAATAATAATAATAATAATAATAATAATAATAATAAATACTTTATTTATACCCCGTTCCATCTCCCCCAGGGGGACTTGGGGCAGCTTACATGAGACCATGCCCATCGACACAATAAACACAGTATACACAAAACATAAAGGGCAAAACCAATATAATAACACAGCAATATAAAATCAAATATCAAACACAAGAAATTCCACAGGGCAGGGCCACTTCAAGAATAAAAACTTAACGCATTTTAAAAATACTGGGAGATAGGCGATGTAATATTGTCATGAAGGGGAACTGGGATGAGGAAGGATTTAATTGCACGAACCATAAACTAAAGTATTGTCAAAGGTTTTCATGGCTGGAATCACAGGGTTGTTGTAGGTTTTTTCGGGCTATATAGCCATGGTCTAGAGGCAATTTCTCTCCTGACGTTTTGCCTGCATCTATGGCAAGCATCCTCAGAGGTAGTGAGGTCTGTTGGAAGTAGGAAAATTGGTTTATATATCTGTGGAATGACCAGGAGTGGGACAAAGGACTCTTGTCTGCTGGAGCTAGGTGTGAATGTTTCAACTGACCACCTTGATTAGCATACAATGGCCTGACTGTGCCTGGAGCAAACTTTTGTTGAGAGGTGATTAGATGTCCCTGATTGTTTCCTCTCTGTTGTTGTGCTGTTGCAATTTTAGAGTTTTTTTTAATACTGGTAGCCAGATTTTGTTCATTTTCATGGTTTCCTCCTTTCTGTTGAAATTGTCCACATGCTTGTGGATTTCATGGCTTCTCTGTGTAGCCTGACATGGTGGTTGTTGGAGTGGTCCAGCATTTCTGTGTTCTCAAATAATATGCTGTGTCCAGGCTGGTTCATCATAAACTAAAGTGCTTCTGAAGTCATTTTGGATAGGGAGTGTCCTACATTCAATCATTGAAGGCACATTGGAATAACCAGGTTTTCACATTCGTCCTGGAGATTGCCAGCAAAGGGGCTTGTCTAAAATCTCTGGGGAGTGAGTTCCAGAGCTGGGGGGCCACTACAGAGAAGGCCCTCTCCCTCGTCCTCACAAGTCGCGTTTGCGATGCGGGCGGGAGTGAAAGAAGGGCCTCTCCAGAAGATCGAAGAGGTCGTGTGGGTTTGTAGACGGAGATGCGGTTGTGCAGGTAGGCAGGTTCCAAACCATTCAGGGCTTTGTAGGTCAAAACCTGCACCTTGAATTGGGCCCGGAAGATAAATTTATTTGTATTTATTTATTTACAGCTTTTCTATTCCACCCTTCTTCTCACCCTGCAGGGGACTCAAGGCGGATTACAGTGTACACATATATGGCAAACATTCCATGCCAATGACATACAAACATATACAGACATAGACAGAGGCTATTTAACTTTTTCTGGCCGCCAGGGGAGCTGTCGCTTTCATCGTCCATCTGCGATGCTGATGAAGCACTTCCGCATTCCCCGCATGCTTCCCCGCTGGAATGCTTTGCTGGAGTCTTCTTCATGGCCTCATAAATCAGTTAATTTAGCCTCCCCACACTTTAAGGTGGTACCTTATTTTCCTACTTGACAGATGCAACTGTCTTTCGGGTTGCAAAGGTCGACAACAGGCTACACACAATTGGTTGGAAACCCACTCCAACCCGGGCTGGCTTCGAACTCATGACCTTTTTGGTCAGAGTGATCTTAATGCAGCTGCACCACAATCCCAGTAAATGGCAGCCAGTGGAGCTCCTTAAACAGGAGGGTTGACCGCTCTCTGTAATTCGCTCTGTAATTCCTTCCTCCTCCAGGTACCCCTGCTCCTCCGTGAAGCTGTGGAACGGGATCATTGCTGCTGGCTACGGGAACGGGCAGATCCGCCTTTACGAGGCAGCCAGCGGGACCCTGCGCGCTGAAGTCAGTGCTCATGCGCGCTGGATCAATGCCCTGGACCTGGCACCGCTCTCAGGAAAGGTGGGAGTTACTTCCCCACAGGAAAGGAAGAGGCATCCCACGGTGTGTTTGTATGTGTAAGGGAGCGAGGAGGGAAAGTAGCCATAGCAATCCCTTGTCAGGTGTAAACAGGATCCAGACTTGCCTCTGAAGTCCTATGCACACTGCTTTGAAGATGCTGAGGCTGTCTGTGGAGCCCTAGAGCTGGAGGGGAGCAGGAAAGTGGTGGGTCAGTGGGCTCAGAGCCCTGCTGCGGCCACTCTTTGTAATTTATTTATTTGTCGTGTCACGGCAACCAGTCCATTATATTACATTTCTAACAGAACAAAGCAAAGGAACAGACAAAATACAAAATTTGTGAGATTGATAGTTGATTAAATGTCCTTTGACCAGTATCTGGCCCCTTGGAGTGCTTCTGGTGTTGCTGCAAGGAGGTCCTCCCTTGTGCATGTGGCAGGGCTCAAGTTGCATTGCAGCAGGTGGTCTGTGGTTTGCTCCTCTCCACATTCGCATGTTGTGGATTCCACTTTGTGGCCCCATTTCTGAAGGTTTGCTCTGCATCTTGTGGTGCCAGAGCACAATCTGTTCAGCGCCTTCCAAGTTGCCCAGTCCTCTGTGTGCCCAGGGGGGAGTCTCCCATTTGGTATCAGCCATTGGTTGCGGTTCTGGGTTTGAGCCTGCCACATTTGGACTCTCGCTTGCTGAGGTGTTCCAGCGATTGTCTCTGGTGATCTTAGAAAACTATTTCTTGATTTAAGTCATTGATGTGCTGGCTGATACCCAAACAGGGGATGAGCTGGAGATGTCTCTGCCTTGGTCCTTTCATTATTGGCTGCTACTTCCCGGCGGATGTCATGTGGTGCAATACCGGCTAAGCAGTGTAATTCCTCCAGTGGTGTAGGGCGCAGACACCCCGTGATAATGCGGCATGTCTCATTAAGAGCCACATCCCCTGTTTTAGCGTGGTGAGATGTGTTCCACACTGGGCATGCGTACTCAGCAGCAGAGTAGCACAGCGCAAGGGCAGATGACTTCACTGTATCTGGTTGTGATCCCCAGGTTGTGCCAGTCAGCTTTCGTATGGTATTGTTTCTAGCACCCACTTTTTGCTTGATGTTCAGGCAGTGCTTCTTGTAGGTCAGAGCACAGTCAAGAGTGACTCCCAGGTATTTGGGTGCGCTGCAATGCTCCAATGGGATTCCTTCCCAGGTAATCATCCTCAGAGCTCGGGATGTTTCTCTGTTCTTGAGATGAAAAGCACATGTCTGTGTTTTAGATGGGTTGGGGATCAGCTGGTTTCCCCTGTAATAGGCAGTAAGAGCACCTAGAGCTTCGGAAAGCTTCTGTTCTACCATGAGAGAAGCCTCCTTGCAGGATTGCAAGACATCTGGGTGTCCCCTGGGCAACGTCTTCGTAGACGGCCGATTCTCTCACCACAGAAGCGACCAGCATGCAAGCAAACTCTTTGTAATGACGCCTGCCTTGGCCTTCCTGACACGCGTGGTGGGCCTAGCCGTGCTTCCGCTCTTTGAGGAAGGCCTTGTCCGTGCAGCCTCACTTTGCTTTTGATCTTTACAGCTTCCAGTTGAAAATGGAAGCTGAAAATGAGTTGAAAATGTGTTGAAAATGCACCCCCCTCTCTCCAGCAGCCTCTCACCCGCCTTAATCTGTTCCCACTTCCTCCCCACAGCTCCTGTCTGCTGCGGAGGACTCCTTTGTGCACGTGTGGAGGCTGAGCCGCAATCCAGACACAGAGGCCGTGGAGGTAACAAGGGGGCAGGAAGCAAGCATCCCCCCTCACCCACCTGGATGGCTACTTCCCCTCTGCGGCCAGGGGCACCCCACTCACTCTTCTTCTCTTTTTGGCTGTAGATCGAGCATTGCCACGGGGAGTGCGTGACCGACAGCCTGCTCTGCGGGGCCCGCTTCTGCAACCCTGAAGGCAGCATCTTTGCCGTCACGGGCTTCGAGCTCAGCGAGATCATCCGTTACGTCCAGGTGTAGCTCCCCTGATCAGAGCCACCCCAAAAGGGAGGATGGGGGCTCTCTTTGAAGCTTAGAGAACCTTAATAGTAGAGAGGGTGCTTGGGATTAAAACCCAGGGCTAGCTGGCTTTCCTGCCCTCCTTTCCTCGCTCCCCTTTCCTTGGGCACTGCCTAGGGACCCCCAGTGTGGCCATATGCCATCCTGAGCAAAGCTCTTCTTCCCTGGATGGCAGGTCCCGAGCGATCTAGCTGTAGACTCAGAGCAGCCTTGAGAGCACAAACAAGCGCCCTCTTCTTTCAGGTTTCCCCCTCCCACTAGAAGGAATCTCACTAGTTCTGCTATCAAACCTAAGCTGGGAGATTTCCTCAGCCCTGCCCTTTACTGCCTCAAGAGATGGGAGGGGCAGGCTTTGTATTTTTTGCTATTTATTAAAAACATCAACACGTATCTGCACTTGGAAGCAGCGTCGTCACTCAGAGGCGTTTGGGGCACAAGCAGGATGTCCTGTTTGACTTGGCAGCTTCTCGCCGGAGGAGAAGGCCCAGCTGGCGGCTGGCTGGAATGCAGGGTGAAGTCCAGACCCCAAGGCATGTGAGAGGAGGAGGAGGGCTTAGCACCACACCCCCACCCCTCAACCCACTTGGCAGGCCTCCCTTTTCCCTGGGCTGTGTCTGATCTGGTCATCTGACCAGCCATGGGCCAAAGGGTGGTGGAACTTGGCTTCTGGGGGCTTCCAAGCCTCCCTCCGCCGTCCAGCCGTGTGGGTTGTTGCAGGGACAAATGTGCTGCTCCAGATCTGTGGCCCTTCACAACCCAATCTCAGTTTGTCATCGCTCTAGGTAACCCTTTCTTTGCATCTGTCCCCACCCAAAAATATCCTGAGTGGGCAGAATGAGTCGTGACAACATGCAAGGAAATACGTGTCCCATATGTCCTAGAAAGAAGTGACAAGTGGAGTGCGCAAAGCAGAGTTCCGTCCTGGGCCCGGTCCTGTTCAACACCTTTATTAATGACTTAGATGAAGGGTTAGAAGGCAGGATCATCAAGTTTGCAGACGACACCAAATTGGGAGGGATAGCCAGTACTCCAGAGGACAGGAGCAGGATTCAAAACGATCTTGACAGATTAGAGAGATGGGCTAAAACTAACACAATGAAGTTCAACAGGGACAAATGCAAGATACTCCACTTTGGCAGGAAAAACGAAATGCAAAGATACAGAATGGGATGCCTGGCTCGAGAGCAGTACGTGTGAAAAAGATCTTGGAGTCCTCGTGGACAACAAGTTAAACATGAACCAGGAATGTGATGTGGCGGCAAAAAAAGCCAATGGGATTTTGGCCTGCATCAATAGGAGCATAGTGTCTAGATCTAGGGAAGTCATGCTCCCCATGCTCTATTCTGCTTTGGTTAGACCACACCTGGAATATTGTGTCCAATTCTGGGCACCACAATTGAAGAGAGATATTGACAAGCTGGAATGTGTCCAGAGGAGGTGACTAAAATGATCAAGGGTCTGGAGAACAAGCCCTATGAGGATCGGCTTAAGGAGCTGGGCATGTTTAGCCTGAAGAAGAGAAGGCTGAGAGGATATGATAGCCATGTATAAATATGTGAGAGGAAGCCACAGGGAGGAGGGAGCAAGCTTGTTTTCTGCTTCCTTGGAGACTAGGACGCGGAACAATGGCTTCAAACTACAAGAGAGGAGATTCCATCTGAACATTAGGAAGAACTGACTGTGAGAGCCGTTCAGCAGTGGAACTCTCTGCCCCGGAGTGTGGTGGAGGCTCCTTCTTTGGAAGCTTTTAAACAGAGGCTGGATGGCCATCTGTCAGGGGGTGCTTTGAATGCAATATTCCTGCTTCTTGGCAGAATGGGGTTGGACTGGATGGCCCAGGAGGTCTCTTCCAACTCTTTGATTCTATGATTCTATGATATTTCTTCCAGTGCTGGGGTGAGCTAGAAGGGATTTCCCCAAAGGGAGCTCTAGTCCAGCCCCTCTGAAGGAAGACCCTCACAGAGTCCACCCTCATCTGAGGCTGCCCATTCCACCACCTGAGAGATTCCAGTATGCTGATGACATCGTTGTCTGTGCGCATTCAGAAGATCTACAAGCCACTCTAAACACCTTTACAGAAGCATACGAGAAGCTTGGCCTGCCATTGAACATTGAGAAAATCAAAGTGCTCTTCCAGCAGTCAACAGCCAACCCCTCCCCAATGCCAGAGATACAGCTTAATGGAGTAACATTAGGAAATGTTGACAATTTCCGCTCCCTTGGCAGCCACCTCTCCAACAAAGTCAACATTGACACCGAAATACAACACCGCCTGAGCTCTGCGAGTGCAGCATTTTTCCAAATGAAGCAGAGTGTTTGAGGACCGGGACATCCGCAGGGAGACCAAGGTGCTTGTTTATAAAGCTATTGTCTTCCCAACTCTGCTATACACCTGCGAGACGTGGACTGTCTACAGACGTCACATGCAACCCCTGGAACGATTCCATCAGCGCTGCCTCCGAAAATCCTGCAAATCTCTTGGGAAGACAGGCGGACAAACGTCAGCATGCTGGAAGAAGCAAAGACCGCCAGCACTGAAGTGATGCTCTTCCGCCATCAACTCCGCTGGACCAGCCACATTGTCCAGATGCCTGACCACCGTCTCCCAAAGCAGTTGCTCTACTCTGAACTCAAGAACGGAAAATGGCATATTGGTGGACAGGAAAAGAGATTTAAAGATGGGCTCAAACCCAACCTTAAAAACTGTGGCATAGACACTGAGAACTGTGAAGGCCTGGTCCGTGAGCACTCCAGCTGGAGGTCAGCTGTGACCAGCAGTGCTGTAGAATTTGAAGAGGCACGAGTGGAGGGAGAAAGAGAAAAACGTGCCAAGAGGAAGGCGCATCAAGCCAACCCCGACCGGGACTGCCTTCCACCTGGAAACCGATGCCCTCACTGCGGGAGAACGTGTGGGTCAAGAATAGGGCTCCACAGTCACCTACGGACCAACCCCCAGGACACTATACTTGGAGGACTATCATCCTCGAACTACGAGGGATCACCACTGTTTGGAGGGCCACACTTTGCCCACCTCTGGCTCTCATGAGGACATACAGACCACTGCCCTCCCACCCCACGTGCCCCCATGGACCCGGAACCCAAAAGAGCCGACTCTCACTCGGGCGCACAATACAAAAAAGGCGTTTATTAAAGGTTAAAACAGTCCAATACTGAAGTGTGTAAGAAAAGGAGAGGCTAGGCCCAGCTCACAGTGGTTAGAAACGTGGGTGCACGTGGCCCACAAGAGGCGCACGTGACCCAAAAGCCCTTCAGAACAGCGAGTGCCACAAAAGGGGCCCCCACCCCGGGTTAGGTTTGTGCTTGGCTGAGGTCTTGGGGCGAGGAAAGTGGAGCGTGGATTAGAAAAAAGTGGTGGTAGTGGTGGGGGGAACACCTTTCTATCTGGGTGTGTGCAATTTCCCAAGGGAGGGGGGCTCGGCGACCCTCCCCTCTCTCCAAAGCGCGCACGCACGCACACACCTGGCCACCGCTTCCCTTAATGCACCAAGGTGTGGCCCGTGCTGGGAAGAGGCGTGTGTTGTGTCCAAGGCACAGACGTCGGCAGGCAAATGGGGAGGGGGTCCCACTCTGCGCACACGCACGCACCCCCCCCCCCCTCACAGCAGACAAGCACAAAACAGGAAGCAACGTCTACACCAAGATGCCTTCAGAGACACTCTACCCCAGGTATGGGCAAACTTTAGCCCTCCAGGTGTTTTGGACTTCAACTCCCAGAATTCCTAACAGCCGGTAGGCTGTTAGGAATTCTGGGAGTTGAAGTCCAAAACACCTCGAGGGCCTCAGCTGTTAGGAATTCTGGGAGTTGAAGTCCAAAACACCTGGAGGGCCAGAGTTTGCCCATACCTGCTCTACCCCATCCCCTCGTCAGGGGCCCCATTTGGCCCCTACGTCCCCATGCACCCTCCCTTACTTACTGACTCTGCAAAGAAAGCCCCCCTAAACCCCCTCCCCACTTTTTCCCCTGTCCGAGTCACACAGCGATTCACCCCAAACCAAGAATCCAGTTCCATCCAGTCCCATTTGGGGAGGGGGCAGGATCCAGCGGGCACCTCATCCGAAGCGCCCCCCCTCCTTCCTCGCTCGTCACAGCCCCCCCAGCTCCACCCCAAAGGCCTCCCCTCCCTCAGTCACCAAAATACTGCTAAGGTCAGAGGTAGCAACTAGAGAGAGAGAGAGGTGGATCGGGGCCCACAAACAGCGCAGGGGTGTAAACAACGAGTGAAGAAGGCATGGCAGTGACAGGCACAGGGCCGGCACTCCGGGAGGAGGGGTCTTTCTGGGGGGGGGAGAGACTGTAAACAAGGCAGGGACCCCTCTTAATAGCTGATGGAGAGGGAGGGGTACAGGCCTCCCCTCTGCCCAACCACTGCTGGCCAGCCGGCACCCTCGCCAGCAAAGGCGCCGACCGAACGGCAGCGTTGACCTCCCACAAGACCCCCGTTTCCGATATCGGAAGGGGGGGGCTCAGGAGATGTGGCTGGTGTGATGAGGGCGCCAGAAGCACCACTTGCTGCGCGGGTGCTGCTTGCGTAGCGCCTCCTCCTCCAGGTCGCGCTCCTTTTGCAGGCGCAGGTAGCGGTCCTCCTCCTTCAGGTACCAGATGGGGGGCCAGCGGTGGCGCTCAAAGTAGGCCTGGTTCTCTGCAGATTTGGAGGGGAGGGGGGGTTAGAAAAAGGGAGACCAGGTGAGTGGCATCCCTAAGCACCCAACCCTCACCTGGTCATGTGCCACCCTCCCTGGCTACTCTATAGTTAAGCAGAGGCTCGATGGCCATCCATCAGGAGTGCTTTGATTATAGAATCCTAGAGTTGGAAGAGACCTGGAGGGCCATCCGACCAGGTGAGTGGCATCCCTAAGCACCCAACCCTCACCTGGTCCATGTGCCACCCTCCCTGGCCACTCTATAGTTAAGCAGAGGCTGGATGGCCATCCATCAGGCGTGCTTTGATTTATAGAATCCTAGAATCCTAGAGTTGGAAGAGACCTGGAGGGCCATCCGACCAGGTGAGTGGCATCCCTAAGCACCCAACCCTCACCTGGTCCATGTGCCACCCTCCCTGGCCACTCTATAGTTAAGCAGAGGCTGGATGGCCATCCATCAGGCGTGCTTTGATTTATAGAATCCTAGAATCCTAGAGTTGGAAGAGACCTGGAGGGCCATCCGACCAGGTGAGTGGCATCCCTAAGCACCCAACCCTCACCTGGCCCATGCGCCACCCTCCCTGGCTACTCTATAGTTAAGGAGAGGCTCGATGGCCATCCATCAGGAGTGCTTTGATTATAGAATCCTAGAGTTGGAAGAGACCTGGAGGGCCATCCGACCAGGTGAGTGGCATCCCTAAGCACCCAACCCTCACCTGGTCCATGTGCCACCCTCCCTGGCCACTCTATAGTTAAGCAGAGGCTGGATGGCCATCCATCAGGCGTGCTTTGATTTATAGAATCCTAGAATCCTAGAGTTGGAAGAGACCTGGAGGGCCATCCGACCAGGTGAGTGGCATCCCTAAGCACCCAACCCTCACCTGGCCCATGCGCCACCGTCCCTGGCCACTATAGTTAAGCAGAGGCTCAATGGCCATCCATCAGGAGTGCTTTGATTATAGAATCCTAGAATCCTAGAGTTGGAAGAGACCTGGAGGGCCATCCAACCAGGTGAGTGGCATCCCTAAGCACCCAACCCTCACCTGGCCCATGCGCCACCATCCTTAGCCACTCTATAGTTAAGTAGAGGCTCAATGGCCATCCATCAGGAGTGCTTTGATTATAGAATCATAAAATCCTAGAGTTGGAAGAGACCTCATGAGCCATCCAGTCCAACCCCATTCTGCCAAGAAGCAGGAAATTTGGGGTGGAGAAACAGGGAAAGTGGGTGCATTAGCAGTCTGGGTCCCTTGACTCTGGGTGGCCAAATACCCCAAAATTTATTTATTTATTTATTTACAGCTTTTCTATTCCGCCTTTCTCACCCCACAGGGGACTCAGGGCGGATTACAGTGTACACATATATGGGAAACATTCAATGCCAATTTTTGACATACAAACATATACAGACATAGACAGAGGCTATTTAACTTTTTCTGGCCATCAGGGGAGCTGTCGCTTTTATCGTCCATCTGTGACGCTGATGAAGCACTTCCACATTCCCCGCATGCTTCCCCGCTGGAATGCTTTGCTGGAGTCTTCTTTATGGCCTCATAAATTAGTTAATTTAGCCTCCCCACACTTTTAATGTGGTACCTAATTTTCCTACTTGACAGATGCAACTGTCTTTCGGGTTGCAAAGGTTGACAACAGGCTACACACAATTGGTTGGAAACCCACTCCAACCTGGGCTGGCTTCAAACTCATGACCTTTTGGTCAGAGTGATCTTACTGCAGCTGACACTCAGCTGCGCCACAATCCCACAAAAGGGGAATATACTTCAAACTCTGCCCAGGTCCCCCAATACTCCCTCCTAGCCCACTGCCCTGTCACTTCCCTAGCCAAGGCATAAAAGTCCATCCCTACCTGGAGACATGTACTTCATTTCGCGGGGGAACCGCCGACAGACGCTGTTGTAGTTGGTGCAGAGATAGTGGAGGCACCAAGCAGCCAGCTGGCGGGCGTTATGGAACTGCAGAAGAGGAATCGGCAGCCGTGAGGGCAAATAACAACGACAACAACAATAATAAATCACACAGTCCTAGACACTTGGGAAGTGTCCGACGTGTGATTCAATACAACAGCAGCAGAGTATCTGCTGTGGACTCAACTTGTTGTGTTTCTAATAATAATAATCATCATCATCATCACCATCATCATCATCTATATATATATATATAAATCTGTAAGGGGCATCCAACGGGACAGCAAAACTCAAAAACCCCCCAACGAAAATTAACCAAAATTCCCATGCACAACACGCCGCCTCCAAAGAAGCCCTGTCCACTCCAAGCCCCACCACGCCGCTTCCCGCCCTGTCAAAAACAACCCTCCTCCCCCTCCTTCATCTTACCCCGCCCACGCGACACGCCCCCTTCCTTCGCCCCCCCCCCTTCCCTCCCTGAGTCAATCCTTCCCTCCTCCCACCCCCCTCCGGTAAGACACGCCCCCTTCCTTCGCCCCGGCGGGCCCAATCAAGGAAGAGGAAAAACATTGAAGGAAGGAAGGAAACAGAGAAGGAAACATGGAAGCAAAGAGTGAAGGAAAGAGGAAGAGAAGGAAGAAAAGAGAGAAAGAGGAAATGAAGAGGGATGGAAAGAAATGGGTAAGAAAGAAGAAGGAGAGAAAGAAAAGGAAGGAAAGAGGAGCGAAGGAAGAAGAGAAAGAAAGAGAAAGAGGGGGGAAGGAAGGACAGACCAAAGGAAGAATGGAAACAAAAACCAAAGGAAGGAAGAAAGGAAAGAGGCAGAGAAGGAAGAAAGAGAAAGGGAAGGAAAAGAAAAAAGGAAGAAGGAAAGAGGAAGAGAAGGAAGGAAGGAGAGAAGGAAAGAAGAAAAGGGAATGAGGGAAAGAAGGAGAGAAAGAGGGAGGTAAGGTGGGCCACAGCAACGCGTGGCAGGGAAAGGGGAGGTAGGACTCCCAAGACCCAACATAAAGCACGAGAAGGGTTTGGTAAGCAATGGGAAGGAAGAAAGGAAGGAGGGAAGGCAGGAAAGAAAGAGGTACCTAAGGAAGGAAGAAGAGAAAGTAGAAAGGAAAGAAAAATAAAAGGAAGGAAAGACAGGAAAGAGGTAAAGAAGGAAGGAAAAAAGGAAATAAAAAATGAAAGAAGGAAGGAAACATGGAGGGAAGAAAGGAGAGAGGAGAAAGGAAAGAAAGAAAGAAAGAAAGAAAGAAAGAAAGAAAGAAAGAAAGAAAGAGGTAGAGAAGGAAGAAAGGAGAGAAAGGGGGAGAAAAAGGGGGAAGGAAAAGGTAGGTACCTTTCTTTCATAATACTCCAGATATCTACCTCTACTTTGAGAAGATTTACTATAGGCCACAGCAACGCGTGGCAGGGTACAGCTAGTATCTTAAATAAAAATGTAATGTTCGTTTGTGGGATTAACAGAACTCGAAAACCACTGGACGAATCGATACCAAATTTGGACACAGGTCACCTAACATCCCAATGTATGTCCTTCACTCAAAAAAATTGATTTTGTCATTTGGGAGTTGTAGGTCTTGGGATTTATAGTTTACTTACAATTAAAGATCATTCTGAACTCCACCAGTGATGGGATTGAACCAAATGTGGCACACAAGACTCCCATGACCAACAAAAAACACGAGAAGGGTTTGGTGGTCATTGATGTAGAGTTTGGGAGTTGTAGTTCACCTACATCCAGTGGACTCAAACAATGATGGATCTGGACCAAACTCTACATAAATACTCAATATGCCCAAATGTGAACATTGGTGGACTTTGGGGAAAATAGAATATTGACATTTGGGAGTTGCAGTTGCTGGGATTTATAGTTCATCTACAATCACAGAGCATTCTGAACCCCACCAACGATAGAATTGGGCCAAAACTCCCACACAGGACCTCCATGACCACCAGAGTGGGCCACAGCAACACGTGGCAGGGGACGGCTAGTAGTAGTAATAATAATAATAATAATAATAATAATTTATTTTTAGTCCACCCTTCTCACCCCAAAGGGCACTCAGGGCGGATCACACTATACATACACGACAAACATTCAATGCTGCTTGTATAGACAGTGCAGACAGAACAGAAGGAGATGTATTGTTTCAATGCCATGGACAGTTGGGCTTCAGTCCACAGGGGATGCGGTCACTCCATCCTCAGGAAGAGCCCTCAGGACTTCCTCATTCCAGAATTTTCTGATCATTATGGCGTAAAACACTTCCCCCGCTTTTAGCGGTGCCTAATTTCTCCACAGCTAAAGCTGTTTTTGAACTGCTTAGGTAAATAGTGAGCAGGGCTGATGGCCAGCCGCTCATGCCGACCTGGGGGTTTCAAACTTACAACCTTTCGGTTGGTAGATCTTATAGTTGCTGATGATTTACCAGCTGTGCTAAACCTTCAGCGAAGACAGAGGAAGGGTTGTAGAACATGCCCCCTGCCCTGAGAGACCTGGCAGACAGGTGTGCATGGCTCTCCCCTCCCATGCACCTCCATAGGCTGTGGGCCCATTCCAAAGGCCACGCTGAAAGGAGGCAGCCACCAAGATGACCACCAATTGAGCCACCAGAGAGATCTCAGTGATGCCCCACAAGTTGATACCTGGCAGGAGGCAACGACAGTGTGTTCCCGACTTCCTACCTGTGTCATCTCCAGGTAGAGGATGACTTGGGCGTCTATCTCCACCTGCTGCAGGCTGGCGTGCACAAGCTCGTCCACTGCGTACTGCTCTGGAGAAGGAGATAACAGAGGAGAGGCCTCAGCTTGGCTAATAATAATAATAATGATAATAATAATAATCTATATAAATAAAAATGTAATGTTCGTTTGTGGGATTAACATAGCTCAAAAACCACTGGACGAATTGACACAAAATTTGGACACTATTCCCCTAACAGACCAATGAGTGGCCATCACTCATAACCCCCCCCCCAAAAAAAAAACAGCAGAAAGGACTCAAAAAACCCCAAAAACTAAATGACAAAAAGCTAAAGGATGATACAGAAAAGGAAGGAAGGAAAGGGAGAAAGAGAGAGAAAGAGAAGGAAGCATGGAAGCAAACAGAAGGAAGGAAGGAACGAAAGAGATATAGAAGGAAGAAAGGAGAGAAAGGAAAAGAAAAAGGGGGGAGGGAAAGAGGTAGAGAAGGAAGGAAGGAGAGAAGGAAAGAAAAAAGGGAAGGAAAGGAGGAGCAAAGGAAGGGGGGAAAGGGAGAGAAAGAGGGAAGGAAAGAGAAGGAAGGATGGAAGGAAAAAAAGGAAGGAAAGAGGTAGAAGAAGGAAGAAAGGAGAGAGAAAGGAAGGAAAGAAAAAGAGGAGAAGAGGAAGAAGAAAAGAAAGAAGGAAGGAAGAAGGGGAAGAAGAAGGAAAAGGAAGGAAGGAAGGAAGAAAGGAAAGGAAGAAAGGAGAGAGAAAAGGAAGGAAAAGAAAAGGGGGAGGAAGGAAAGAAATAAAGAAGGAAGGAAGGAAGGAAGGAAGAAAGAAAGAAAAGAGAAGGAAGGAAGGAAAGAGGTAGAGAAGGAAGAAAGGAGAGAGAAAAGGAAGGAAAAGAAAAGGGGGAGGAAGAAAGAAGTAAAGAAGGAAAGGAAGGAAGAAGGAAGGAAAGGAAGGAAAGGAAGGAAAGGAAGAAGGAAGGAAGGGAAGGAAGGAAGAGGAGGAGAGAAGGAAGGAAAGGAAGAGAAAAGGAAGGAAAGGAAAAGGGGAGGAAGGAAAGAAAAGAAGGAAGAAGAAGGAAGGAGAAAGAAGAAAAGAGAAGGAAGGAGAAAGGTAAGAAGGAGAAAGAGAAGAAAAGGAAGGAAAAGAAAGGGGGAGGAAGGAAAGAAGTAGAAGGGAAGGAAGGAAGGAAGAAGGAAGGAAAGAAGAAAGAGGAGGAAGGAAGAAAAGAAGAAAGGAGGAAGGAAGGAAGAAGGAGGAGAAAAGAAGAAAAGAAAGGGAGGAAGGAAGAAGAAGGAAGGAAGGAAAGAAGAAAAGAGAGGAAGGAAGGAAGAGGTAGAGAAGAAGAAAGGAGAGAAAGGAAGGAAAAGAAAAAGGGGAGAAGGAAAGAAGTAAAGAAGGAAGGAAGGAGGAAGAAGGAGGAGAAGGAGAAGGAAGGAGAAGGAAGGAGAAGGAAGGAAGGAAGAGGAAGGAAAAAAGAGAAGGAAGGAAGGAAGGAAAAAGAGGAGAGGAAGAAAGGAGAGAGAAAAGGAAGGAAAAGAAAAAGGGGAGAGGAAGAGAAAGAGAGGAAGGAGGAGAAGAAGGAAAGGAAGGAAGAAGGAAAGGAAAAGGAAGGAAGAGAGAGGAGGGAGGGAAGGAAGGAAGGAAGGAAGGAAGGAAGGAGAAGGAAGGAAGGAGAGAAAGAGGCAGGTACAGCTAGTAATAATAATAATCTTTATTTATACCCATGCCCAGAAATACATTACAGCAAAATACAAAATAAACCAAAAGCAAAACTTAGGAATACAATAAAACAAAGCAAAATAAAACAAAACAAAACAATGCAATGAAAAATCAATTGCAAACATGGGGGAAAGTTGGCTGAGTGACTAGCAAACCATCCTCTTGTCGGAAGTCAAGTGCATGGAATGCTGGGTGCACTCTGGGGATGCTCAGAGGCCCCTTTGCCCACCACAACCATACCAGCAAGCCTTGTGGAGGGGTTCAATGGCTCTGGGATTCAATTGGCTTGTTCAGTACTCCAACGGAGATTAATATCCCCCCCCCCCCTGCCCCACACACCCTTTTGTTTTTGACTGTGCTGCTGGCAAGCCAAAACAAGTCCCTGGGACAAATTGATTACAGGGACGCTGTGTCCCCACCGCCCTCCTCGCTATCTTATTGGCAGCTTATGTAAGAGGCCTCCAGGCAGGAAGCGGACAGATAGATTGGCCAGTCCAGCAGCAGGATATTGGGGAGGGGATGTGGTGTGGGGCTGCGACTGCCACGTTCCAATTCCACCCCAACACATATCTTGGGTCCCTGGACTCACCAGTCAAGGCCTGCAAACGGGTCAGGCAGAGGCGGTTGGTCAGCACCAGCAGCTCCATGGCGTCCAAGTCCGGAGTGGGCACAAAGTGGCCCGTGTAGAGGAACTCCAGCACCGCGCGGAGGCAGGCACAGTTGGTGCCCGGAAGTGGGACCTGGAAAAAGGGAGACAAGAAGGAAGGGGGGGGGGGGGGGTCAATGAATTCAGAGCACTCCCGACAGATGGCCATCCAGCCTCTGCTTCCAAGCCTCCAAAGAAGGAGTCTCCACCAGACTCTGGAGGACAGAGTTCCACTGCTGAACATAATAATAATAATAATAATAATAATAATAATAATAATAATAATAATAATAATAATAGAATGATAGAATCAGATGGCCATCCAGCCTCTGCTTCCAAGCCTCCAAAGAAGGAGTCTCCACCAGACTCTGGAGCAGAGAGTCCCACTGCTGAACATAACAACAACAACGATGATAATAGACTCCTAGAGTTGGAAGAGACCTGGTGAGCCATCCAGTCCAACCCCATTCTGCCAAGAAGCAGGAAAATTGCATTCAAAGCACCCCTGACAGATGGCCATCCAGCCTCTGCTTCTGATTCACCAAAGGAGTCTCCGCTGGACTCTGGAGGACAGAGTTCCACTGCTGAACATAATAATAATAGTAATAATAATAATAATAGAATGATAGAATCAGATGGACATCCAGCCTCTGCTTCTGAGCCACCAAAGAAGGAGTCTCCACCAGACTCTGGAGCAGAGAGTTCCACTGCTGAACATAACAACAACAACAACAACAACGATAATAGACTCCTAGAGTTGGAAGAGACCTCATGGGCCATCCAGTCCAACCCCATTCTGCCAAGAAGCAGGACAATCATATTCAAAGCACCCCCAACAGATGGCCATCCAGTCTCTGCTTCCGAGCCTCCAAAGAAGGAGTCTCCACCAGACTCTGGAGCAGAGAGTTCCACTGCTGAACATAACAACAACAACAACAACAACGATAATAGACTCCTAGAGTTGGAAGAGACCTCATGGGCCATCCAGTCCAACCCCATTCTTCCCCAAAAAATTATTTACATATTTACATTGCCACCACATATGTATATATGTTCCAAAGAAAGAGCCTCCACCACACTCCAGGTCAGAGAGTTCCACTGCTGAACGGCTCTCACAGTCAGGAAGTTCTTCCACATGTTCAAATAGAATCTCCTTTCTTGTAGTTTGAAGCCATTGGTCCATTGCGTCCTAGTCTCCAGGAGCCTCTGCTTCCAAGCCTCCAAAGAAGGAGTCTCCACCAGATTCTGGAGCAGAGAGTTCCACTGCTGAACATAATAATAATAATAATAATAATAGGATGATAGAATCAGATGGCCATCCAGCCTCTGCTTCCAAGCCTCCAAAGAAGGAGTCTCCACCGGACTCTGGAGCAGAGAGTTCCACTGCTGAACATAATAATAATAATAATAATAATAATAATAATAATAGAATCCTAGAGTTGGAAGAGACCTGGAGGGCCATCCAGTCCAACCCCATTCTGCCAAGAAGCAGGAAAATTACATTCAAAGCACTCCCGACAGATGGCCATCAAGCCTCTGCTTCCAAGCCTCCAAAGAAGGAGTCTCCACCGGACTGAGTTCCACTGCTGATGATGATGATGATAATAATAGTAATAATAATAATAACAGAATGATAGAATCAGATGGCCATCCAGCCTCTGCTTCTGAGCCTCCAAAGAAGGAGTCTCCACCGGACTCTAGAGCAGAGATTTCCACTGCTGAACATAATAATAATAATAATAATAATAATAATAATAGTCGAAGGCTTTCATGGCCGGAATCACTAGGTTCTTGTGGGTTTTTTCGGGCTATAGGGCCATGTTCTAGAGGCATTTCTCCTAATGCAGGCGAAACGTCATGAGAAATGCCTCTAGAACATGGCCATATAGCCCAAAAAACATACAACAACCCAATAATAATAATAATAGAATCCTATTTGGAAGAGACCTCATGGGCCATCCAGTCCAACCTCATTTGGCCAAGAAGCAGGACAATCGCATTTAGAGCAACCTCGACAGATGGCCATCCAGCCTCTGCTTCCAAGCCTCCAAAGAAGGAGTCTCCACCAGACTCTGGAGGACAGAGTTCCACTGCTGAACATAATAATAATAATAATAATAATAATAATAATAATAATAATAATAATAATAATCTATATAAATAAAAATGTAATGTTCGTTTGTGGGATTAACACAACTCAAAAACCACTAGGTGAATTGACACCAAATTTGGACATAAGACATCTATCAGGTCAACGAGTGACCATGCCCAGTTCTTTAAGCTGCTCCTCATAGGGCTTGTTCTCCAGATCATTTTAATCGCCCTCCTCTGGACACATGCCGCCTATCATAGACCTCATTTGGGGGGCCACCAATTCTGCCACGTGCTCTAATTCCTTCCTCCCCATGTCAAAGATCCCTGAAGAAGCAACAATTAGAAAGGATGTGATGTTGAAGAGGGGACAAACTCATTTTCTACTGCTCTAGAGACTAGGACACAATAGAGAATAGGACACAGAATGGCTTCCGCCCTTCCAGAGGAACCGTGGACATGATCTTCACTGCACGACAGCTCCAAGACAAATGCAGAGAACAAAATCAACCTCTGTCCATGGCATTCATCGACCTTGCAAAGGCATTCGACACAGTGAACTGCAGCGCTCTCTGGACCATCCTCCAAAAAATCGGGTGCCCAAACAGGATGTTCACACCGGAAGCAACTTGCAGTTTCTCAAGTCGCTCCTGACACGAAAAGCAGAGGTTGGAAGGCCATCTGTCAAGAGTGCTTTGATTGTGTGTTGCTGCATGGCAGAAGGGGGTTGGACTGGGTGGCCCTTGGGGTCTATGATTCTATGACCACCCTCACCTCAGGAAAGGTTCCCAAGCAAGGCCACCCCCACCCTATGCATTGGACCTCAACTTCCTGAAAGACGGAAGTCCATTTCTCTAAGACTTGGAAGGGCAGAGTCCACTCTGCACGTGCTCAGTGGCACTCCTTGTGCTGGCCCCTGCCTGGGAAGGAAGGTCCATGAGGTTTGCAGTGCAGCCAAGAGCCAAACCACCAAAGAATATGGCAGAAGAAGGAGGAGAGGTGTTAGGCTCCCTGGCCTGCTTGACCGCCTGGCCCTTTTATTTTTGCACTGCCCAATTTATCTTGGGTCCTTCCCCGCCAGTGGCTGGAGGAGCGCATTCCTGGGACCAGCTGCTCTCCCTCCTGCCAAAAAGAGGGGTCCGGATTCATAGGGGAGGAGGACCAAGAGGAAAGAGCCAAGGGAAGCTGCGCAATCTGACCCCAGTCCTGACCCTCTTTGCAACTTGACGCCTTTGACCTGCCTTCTTGGTGCCAACACGGCTCGGCCGTCCCACCCCACCATAAGGGGAGATTTCCTGGCCATGGAGAGCCCTTCTTTTCCTGCTCTTGCCCTCCCAAACCCTCTGGGTTGCCCAGCAGACGGTTCCCATTTGCCCCAGGACCCACTGGAGGGGAGAGCAGACCCTCTTCGGGCATCACACCAGCGCTGAGCATCCCCAGGTGCATCTTCCTTAAGATGCCTTTTGGAAAGGACCAAGCAAGGGCAGCCCCTTCCCGGCTTTTGGGACCCCTATCTATATAAATAAAAATGTAATGTCAGTTTGTGATACCATCAGAACTCAAAAACCACTGGGGGAATTGACACCAAATTTAGACACAAGACACCTAACAGTCCAATGTATGTCCTCCACTCAAAAAAATTGATTTTGTTATTTGCAAATTGTCGTTGCTGGGATTTATAGTTTACCTACAATCACAGAGCATTCTGAACTCCACCAATGATGGAATTGAACCAAACAGGGCATACAGGACTTCCATGACCAACAGAATACACTGGAAGGGTTTGGTGGGCATTGGCCTTGAGTTTGGGAGTTGTAGTTCACCTACATCCAGAGAGCACTGTGAACTCAAACAATGATAGATCTGGACCAAACTTGACACAAATATTCCATATGCCCAAATATGAACACAGATGGAGTTTGAAGGAAATAGACCTTGACATCTGGGATTTGTAGTTACTGGGATTTATAGCTCACCTACAATCAAAGAGCATTCTGAACTCCACCAATGAAACAGGTAGAGATGGAAGAAAGAAGAAGATAAATAGGAAGGGACAGAAGTAGAGGAAAGGAAGGAGAGAAAGAGGGAGGGAAGGTTGGCCACAGCAATGAGCGGCGGGTACAGCTAGTTTATTTATATTTTAACGGCGCTCCATGCAGTCATGCCGGCCACATGACCTTGGAGGTGTCTACGGACAACGCCGGCTCTTCGGCTTAGAAATGGAGATGTCCACCACACCCCAGAGTCAGACATGACTGGACTTAATGTCAGGGGAAAACCTTTCCCTTATTTAAATAATAAATAAATAAATAAAACATCAAAACATCTAGGCAACGTCCCCTGGGCAACGTCCTTGCAGATGACCAATAAATATATATATTTATTTACATTTCTACCCTGCCCTTCTCAACCTCCAAGGGGGGACTCAGAGCGACTAACATTGGCAACAATTCGATGACGCAATATCAATATAACAACAATATAAAACCATAAATATGCAATAGATTAAAAACAATAACGTTAATTATACAGTCACATAACCGTTTACGTTATCATAACAATCATGGTCCAGTTCAGTATCCAAAGTGCCTGCTAGCCAAAAGCTTGGCTCCAAAACCATGATTTCAGTTTTTTCCTAAAGGAAAGGAGGGAGGACGCCGATCTAATCTTACTAGGGAGCAAATTCCACAAGCAGGGGGTCACCACCGAGAAGGCCCTGTCCCTCATCCCCACCAGATGTGTTTGCGAGGCCGGTGGGACCGAGAGTGGGGCCTCCCCGGTGAATCTTAAACTACGAGGTAGAACGTAGAGAGAGATACGTTCAGACAAGTAAGCTGGGCCAGATCCTTAAATGTCCAAGAGGCTAATGGGGACTTCAGCAACGTTTGACCTGAGAAGTTCGTGGGACCAAGGGTGGACCATGAAGAGAGACCCTCTCCATGAAAAGGAGTACATGTATGGTCAGAAACACAGGAACCCTGAAATTTTATCGTGTCAGGAGCACCAACGTTGACTTGGCATTTCGAAACCAGAAGGAGTGGTTAGAAGAAGCACCGTGAGAAGTCCGTGGGACAAAAGGTGGGCCATGAAGAGAGACCCTCTCCATGAAAAGGACCACATGCATGCTCAGGACACACAGAACCCCTTGAGAAAACTGTAAGTCGCTTCTGGTGCGAGAGAATAGGCTGTCTGCAAGGGGATGACCGGATGTGTTACCGTCCTGTGGGATGCTTCACTCATGAGAAGCTGGAGCTGACAGATAGGAGCTCACCCCACTCCCCGGATTTGAATCGCCAACCTTCAGGTCAGCAGTCCTGCCGGCACAAGAGTTTAGCCCATTGTGCCAACTGGAAAGGAGATGCCCGGATGTGTTACTGTCCTGTGGGAGGCTTCACTCATGAGAAGCTGGAGCTGACAGACAGCAGCTCACCCCACTCGCCAGATTCGAACCACCAACCTTCAGGTCAGCAGTCCTGCTGGCACAAGAGTTTAGCCCATTGTGCCAACTGGAAAGGAGATGCCCAGATGTGTTACTGTCCTGTGGGAGGCTTCACTCATGAGAAGCTGGAGCTGACAGACAGGAGCTCACCCCACTCCCCGGATTCAAATCGCCAACCTTCAGGTCAGCAGTCCTGCCGGCACAAGGATTTAACCCATTGCACCACTGGGGCTCCACGCCTGGAAAAATAACGATTCTACTTCCAGCCCCTCCTCGCCTCACCTCGGCAGCGCAACTCTCCCGGAATGTGCCGCCAAACATGGCCACCATGAAGTCACATCCTGCAAGGAGCAGCGGCTTGTGCGCCGGCACCGATCCGTCGTCCACCACAAAGACCACATCTGAAGGGGGAAAGGAAGAAAGCGTTGGAAGCGCAGGTGGCGGATCAAGCCCCCAATGCTCTCAACCAACCAAGATGGGGGCCACCCCACCCCTATTTCGCCTACCTGCGAAGGTGCCCTTGGTAAGGCACTCCTTGATCCGGTTGGCCCGCCGCACGTGGAAGGCCTTCGTGATCTCGCGGTTCATGAAGCTCTCCTTGTTGAGCATGTTGGCCACCATCATGCGCAGGTCAAAGACTTCGAGCAGCTCGGCGATGGCGGCCACCTGCATGAGGTCAGCCCGGTGCTGCTCCAGGTGTCCCGTGTAGAGGTACTCCAGCACCGCCCGGAAGGGGCCTGGTTGCACCAGCCCGTCCAGGTAGACCGCCGTCATGGGCCTCTCCTGCAGCGTCACAGGGTCCCGCACCACCTCCGGACACATGCGCACGAAGCCCCGTCCCCAGCCGGACAACTCCCGGGCGGCCGGGGCCAAGCGCAGCGGGTCGTCGCTCTGCGAGGTCCGGAGAGAGGCCGCCGGGGGTCCCGGCGGCGCCTTATCCGCGGCGTCCAAGCTTTTCGTCCTGCCGGCGGGCTCCTTGGCCCCTGCGACCGCCTCTCCCCCCAAGTCCAGCATGAAGAGGTCATAGAACTTGGAGCAGGAGGTGGCCAGGTAGACGCGGTGGGCGAAGACTCGGTGGCCCCCCTGAAGGAAGAAGGCGACGTCGGCGCAGAGGGGCTGGTGGAAGAGGGCGGTGGGGCCCCGGCCCTCCTCGGATAGCGGCTCCGGGATGTGGATGATGGGTGGCGGGGGCTTCGGGGGCAAGAAGGGGGCTTGCAGCAAGGGCCGCTGGGTCTTCTTGAGGTGGGACTTCCAGAACTGGAGGTGGCGCCGGGAGATGAGGGCGGCCCGGATGGCGTTGTCGAAGACGTCCTTGATGCCGAACTGGGCCACCACGCTGGTCTCGTAGTAGGGGATGCCCAGCTCCTTGGCCACTTCGTGCCCGTATTCAGGGGGCAAGATGTCTGAAGGCTTGATGGGCCTGGAGGAGGGGGCAAGGGAGAAAGAAAATCATGGCTGAACGGACGAGGCCAAGCAAAGGGGGAGACCAAAGCATCAAAGCCTGGTAGAGTCAGTGGGCCAAAGCTAGTGTCGTCCTGGGGACAGTGAGTAGGCTTCAAAACCTGGTAGAGTCAGTGGGCAAAAGCTCGTGTCATCCTGAGGAGAGTGAGTAGGACAAAGCCTGTTAGAGTCAGTTGGCCAAAGCTAATGTCATCCTGGGGAGAGTGAGTAGGCTTCAAAGCCTGGTAGAGTCAGTGGGCCAAAGCTAGTGTCGTCCCGAGGAGAGTGAGTAGGCTGAAACCTGTTAGTGTCCGTCGGCAAAGCTAGTGCCATCCTGAGGAGAGTGAGTAGGCCAAAGACTGTTAGAGTCAGTGGGCCAAAGCTCGTGTCATCCTGAGGAGAGTGAGTAGTCCGAAACCTGTTAGAGTCAGTGGGCCAAAGCTAGTGTTGTTCTGAGGAGAGTGAGTAGAGTCAGTGGGCCAAAGCTCGTGTCGTCCTGAGGAGAGTGAGTAGGCCAAAGCCTGTTAGAGTCAGTTGGCCAAAGCTAATGTCATCCTGGGGAGAGTGAGTAGGCCAAAGCCTGTTAGAGTCAGTGGGCTAAAGCTCGTGTCGTCCTGAGGAGAGTGAGTAGGCAGAAGCCTGTTAGAGTCAGTGGGCCAAAGCTCGTGTCATCCTGAGGAGAGTTAGGCTGAAGCCTGTTAGAGTCAGTGGACCAAAGCTAGTGTCGTCCTGGGGAGAGTGAGTAGGCTGAAGCCTGTTAGAGTCAGTGGGCAAAGCTAGTGTCGTCCTGAGGAGAGTGTGTAGGCCGAAGCTTTTAGAGTTAGTGTACCAAAGCTAGTGTTGTCCTGAGGAGAGTGAGTAGGCCAAAGCCTGTTAAGAGTTAGTGGGCCAAAGGTAATGTTCGAGTTAGTGGACCAAAACTAGTTTTGCCCTGATGAGAGTGAGTAGGCTGAAGCCAGTTAGAGTCAGTGAGCAAAAGCTGGTGGAGTCCTGAGGAAAGTAAGTAGGTTTCGAAGCCTGTTAAAGTCAGTGGGTGAAAGCTCGTGTCGTTTGAGGAGAGTGAGTAGGCTGAAGCCTGTTAGAGTCAGTGGACCAAAGCTCGTGTCATCCTGTGGAGAGTGAGTAGGCTAAAGCCTGTTAGTCAGTGGCCAAAGCTAGTGTCGCCCTGAGGAGAATGAGTAGGCCAAAGCCTGTTAGACTTAGTGGACCCAAGCTCGTGTCGTCCTGAGGAGAGTGAGTAGGCTGAAGTCTGTTACAGTTAATGGACCAAAGCTAGTGTCATCCCGAGGAGAGTGAGTAGGATGAAGCCTGTTAGAGTCAGTGGGCCAAAGCTCGTGTTGTCCTGTGGAGAGTGAGTAGGCCAAAGCCTGTTAGAGTCAGTGGGTCAAAGCTCGTGTTGTCCTGTGGAGAGTGAGTAGGCTGAAGCCTGTTAGAGTCAGTGGGCCAAAGCTCATGTCGTCCTGGGGAGTGTGAGTTGACTGAAGCCTGTTAGAGGCAGTGGGCCAAAGCTAGTGTTGTCCTGAGGAGAGTGAGTAGGCTGAAACCTGTTAGAGTCAGTGGGCCAAAGCTAGTGTTGTCCTGAGGAGAGTGAGTAGGCCAAAGCTTTTAGAGGTAGTGGGCCAAAGCAAGTGTCGTCCTGAGGAGAGTGAGTAGGTCAAAGCCTGTTAGAGTCAGTGGGCCAAAGCTCGTGTCGTCCTGAGGAGAGTGAGTAGCCTGAAGTCTGTTACAGTTAATGGACCAAAGCTAGTGTCATCCCGAGGAGAGTGAGTAGGCTGAAGCCTGTTAGAGTCAGTAGGGCAAAGATAGTGTCGTCCTCAGGAGAGTGAGTAGGTTGAAGCCTGTTAAAGTCAGTGGTCGAAAGCTCGTGTCGTCCTGAGGAGAGTGAGTAGGCTGAAACCTGTTACAGTTAATGGGCCAAAGCTAGTGTCATCCCGAGGAGAGTGAGTAGGCCGAAGCCTGTTAGAGTCAGTGGGCCAAAGGAGGCTTTTCTTTATAGTAAAATAATATGGTTGCGCTGTTTACAAAAATAAGGTTTCCATAATACAAATAAACAAACACATAGTCGCTTTACATGCAGCAGCCTTCACACTGGAGCTTTCTCACATGAGGCTTCTCTCACACAGTGGTTTACCTCACACTCCTCAGGACGACACGAGCTTTTGCCCATTGACTCAAATAGGTTTCAGCCTACTCACTGGTAGTTGGGTCATGCTCCTGTTTCCAATTTATTCTGCTAATAATTTATTCTAATTTATTCATTGACTTGTATGTTTTTATCATTTTGGACTACTGGTGTTGGGTCACGCTGCTGCACCTAAGTTACTCTGCTGTGCATTTATGAGGAGGAGGGTCTTTTGCCAATAAGCCCACCTGCCCAACAGGTATGTCTTTCAGCTGGTAGTTGGTAGGCTTCACTGGTAGTTGGGTCATGCTCCTGCTTCTAATTTATTCTGCTAATAATTTATTCTAATTTATTCATTGATTTGTGTGTTGTTATCATTTTGGACTACTGGTGTTGGGTCATGCTTCTGCTGCTAAGTTACTCTGCTGTGCATTTATGAGGAGGAGGGTCTTTTGCTAATAAGCCCACCTGCCCAACAGGTATGCTCCCATTGCCCTGCCCTTTGGAATAACAGGGTTCGCCGTTGGTGAGGGAGCGGAGCGATGAGGCAAGAATGCGCCATGCGTTCCTCCTGCAGCTGCAAAGCCCAGATTCCTGAGGGCGGAACGGCCCCCAGGAGAAGAGGGTCAGGCCAGGACTGGGTTCTTCCGATGCCAAGGAAGATATGCCTCAACCCGCAGGAGCCTAATTGATTTCCCCCAGAGTTGCACATGTGGTTGGCATTACAACATTGTTTTGAAGGGCTTTAAACCCTCTCGTCATAAGCATCGACGGGCTCAATGCGCCTTTTGTCTTTTATTCTCCATTATAAACTATTCACCGCTGCTCGCGAGCATGGGGAGTGTAGATATTTTGTCTGAAAACACACACACACACCCCATTCAGGGAAACATGCCCATTGGGAGTGGATCCTTCCCTGGCATCTGGAATATTGTGTCCAATTCTGGGCACCACAATTCAAGAGAGATATTGACAAGCTGGAATGTGTCCAGAGAGATTCAACTAAATGATCAAGGGTCTGGAGAACAAGCCCTATGAGGAGCGGCTTAAGGAGCTGGGCATGTTTAGCCTGAAGAAGAGAAGGCTGAGAGGAGATATGATAGCCATGTATAAATATGTGAGAGGAAGTCACAGGGAGGAGGGAGCAGATCAAGGGTCTGGAGAACAAGCCCTATGAGGAGCGGCTTAAGGAGCTGGGCATGTTTAGCCTGCAGAAGAGAAGGCTGAGAGGGGATATGATGAGAGCCATGTATAAATACGTGAGGGGAAGCCACAGGGAGGAGGGAGCAGATCAAGGGTCTGGAGAACAAGCCCTATGAGGAGCGGCTTAAGGAGCTGGGCATGTTTAGCCTGCAGAAGAGAAGGCTGAGAGGGGATATGATGAGAGCCATGTATAAATACGTGAGGGGAAGCCACAGGGAGGAGGGAGCAGATCAAGGGTCTGGAGAACAAGCCCTATGAGGAGCGGCTTAAGGAGCTGGGCATGTTTAGCCTGAAGAAGAGAAGGCTGAGAGGGGATATGATGAGAGCCATGTATAAATATGTGAGAGGAAGCCACAGGGAGGAGGGAGCAGATCAAGGGTCTGGAGAACAAGCCCTATGAGGAGCGGCTTAAGGAGCTGGGCATGTTTAGCCTGCAGAAGAGAAGGCTGAGAGGGGATATGATGAGAGCCATGTATAAATACGTGAGGGGAAGCCACAGGGAGGAGGGAGCAGATCAAGGGTCTGGAGAACAAGCCCTATGAGGAGTGGCTTAAGGAGCTGGGCATGTTTAGCCTGCAGAAGAGAAGGCTGAGAGGGGATATGATGAGAGCCATGTATAAATACGTGAGGGGAAGCCACAGGGAGGAGGGATCAAGGGTCTGGAGAACAAGCCCTATGAGGAGCGGCTTAAGGAGCTGGGCATGTTGAGCCTGCAGAAGAGAAGGCTGAGAGGAGACATGAGAGCCATGTATAAATGTGTCCAGAGGAGGGCGACTAAAATTATCAAGGTTCTGGAGAACAAGCCCTATGAGGAGCGGCTTAAGGAGCTGGGCATGTTTAGCCTGAAGAAGAGAAGGCTGGGAGGCGATATGATGAGAACCGTATATAAATATGCCACCAATATATAACCTTAAGGGTCTGGAGAACAAGCCCTATGGGGAGCGGCTTAAGGAGCTGGGCATGTTTAGCCTGAAGAAGAGAAGGCTGAGAGGAGATATGATAGCCATGTATAAATATGTGAGAGGAAGCCACAGGGAGGAGGAGGGAGCAAGCTTGTTTTCTGCTTCCCTGGAGACTAGAACGCAATGGAACAATGGCTTCAAACTACAAGAATGGAGATTCCATCTGAACACGAGGAAGAACTTCCTGACTGTGAAAGCCGTTCAGCAGTGGAACTCTCTGCCCCGGAGTGTGGTGGAGGCTCCTTCTTTGGAAGCTTTTAAACAGAGGCTGGATGGCCATCTGTCAGGGGTGATTTGAATGCAATATTCCTGCTTCTTGGCAGAATGGGGTTGGACTGGATGGCCCAGGAGGTCTCTTCCAACTCTGATTCTATGATTCTATGATTCTATCTCCCACCTCCAAGAGTAACAGGAGGTCCCACCCAAACACCCCAAAGGAAGGCAGGTGGGGGGTCTATCTATCTAGTGGGGAGGGGGCCCCTCACTTGGCCAGGGGTCTCCGGGCGCGGTTGACGGCCTCGAGGTCGGCGTAGCGGAGGTCCAGCTGGCAGCCCACCAGCACGATGGGGGTGCGCGGGCAGAAGTGCTTGATCTCGGGGTACCACATGCTCTTCACGTGCTTCAGGGAGTTGGGGTTGGCCAAGGAGAAGCAGAGCACCACCACGTCCGACCTGCAGAAGAAGAGGATTGAAGTGAGGCAGGGGATCTGTTGCAAAGGTGGACCATACCTGCCAGGATTTGGAAATCACCTGGCACTTTCTAAGTGACAGCAGAGTTAATACCTCTGGCTTAACCACCTATAAAAGCCTTAAACCACTGTAATTATGGTGTTGTGATTAATGCAAAGGGAGTTGTATATAGGTTGTTATATTGAGTAAGTCTGGTGAGAGTTGTTGAGGCGACTGAAGGTGTTTTGGAGAGTGTGTTGGAGAACTGCTGCTGTGAGTAGAAGCTGTAAAGTTTGTATATTCTGGGTTGTTGTAGGTTTTTTCGGGCTGTATGGCCATGTTCTAGAGGCATTTTCTCCTGACATTTCGCCTGCATCTATGGCAAGCATCCTCAGAGGTAGTGAGGTCTGTTGGAAATAGGAAAAAGGGTTTATATATCTGTGGAAGGACCAAGGTGGGACAAAGAACTCTTCTCTGATGGAGCTAGGTGTGAATGTTTCAACTGAGCACAAAAGTTTGTATATTCTGGGGTGTTGTAGGTTTTTTCGGGCTGTATGGCCATGTTCTAGCGGCATTCTCTCCTGACGTTTCGCCTGCATCTATGGCAAGCATCCTCAAAGGTAGTGAGGTCTGTTGGAAATAGTAAAATGGGTTTGTATATCTGTGGAATGACCAGGGTGGAACAAAGGACTCTTGTCTGCTGGAGCTAGGTGTGAATGTTTCAACTGAGCACAAAAGTTTGTATATTCTGGGTTGTTGTAGGTTTTTTCGGGCTGTATGGCCATATTCTAGAGGCATTCTCTCCTGACGTTTTGCCTGCATCTATGGCAAGCATCCTCAGAGGCTGTGAGGTCTGTTGGAACTAGGAAAATGGGTTTGTATATTTGTGGAATGACCAGGGTGGGACAAAGGACACTTGTCCGCTGGAGCTAGGTGTGAATGTTTCAACTGACCACCTTGATTAGCATTTGATGGCCTGGCAGGTGTTTGGTGTGGCTTGTTGGTGCCTGGGGCAATCTTTTGTTGAGAGGTGATTATATGTCCCTGAAGCCATTGAAATCCACAAGCATGTGGACAATTTCAACAGAAAGGAGGAAACCATGAAAATGAACAAAATCTGGCTACCAGTATTAAAAAAAACTCTAAAATTACAACAGCACAACAACAGAGAGGAAACAAACAAGGACATCTAATCACCTCTCAACAAAAGATTGCTCCAGGCACTGCCAGGCCATCAAATGCTAATCAAGGTGGTCAGTTGAAACATTCACACCTAGCTCCAGCGGACAAGAGTTCTTTGTCCCACCCTGGTCATTCCACAGATATATAAACCCAATTTTCGTACTTCCAACAAGTACGGGGACGAGAGATAGGGCCTTCTCGGTGGTGGCTCCTCGGCTGTGGAACGCCCTTCCTACGGACATTAGACTAGCACCATCTCTAATGGTATTCTGCAGGAAAGTGAAGACCTGGCTGTTTGAGCAGGCGTTCGAATAATTAGTGCAATGATTGGTTAATGAACATTGGAACGGAATAATGGATGATGAATCTGGATCATGTTTTTGATGATGAGACGATAGTGAATAGTGAATGGTTATTGTAGTAATTGTTTATTAATTATGTAATATGTTAGGTTGTTAACTGTTTTTACACTGTAGCATTGAATTTTTGCTGTTCTTATTTGTTGTGAACCGCCGTGAGTCGCCTTCGGGCTGAGAACAGCGGTATATAAGTAATGTAAATAAATAAATAGGTGAACTATACATCCCAGCAACTACAACTCCCAAATGGCAAAATCAATTTTTTTGAGTGAAGGACGTACATTGGGTTGTTAGGTGTCTTGTGTCCAAATTTGGTATTTGGTCAATCCCACAATTACATTTTTATTTATATAGATAGAGAAAAGCCTCTTATGGAAGAGATAACCCTGGTCTGTGTGTTTTTGTGCATTTTATCACTTTGGGAAACTGGTGCTGGGTCACGCTGCTGCGCATAAGTTACTCTGCTGTACATTTATGGGGAGGGTCTTCTGTTAATAAGCCCCTTCGCCAAACCACCCATTCCTGAACCTCATTCCAGGAGCTGGGCATGTTCTCTCTGGGACAAAAGACCCCGGGCTTTGGGGAACACCCCCCCCCCCCTCCATCACATGCCACAGAAACATCTTAGAAGGGATTATCAGCACGAGCCGCAGCCGGAACGTGAGGCCAAGCCGGCCAGCAAAGCTCTGGCAGGGAAGGAAGGGATTACTTGGGCCAGCATGCCTTCCACACTCTCTACTGGGGGACCCCAACTCACAAAGGCCAAGGACCACCCATTCCCCAAGCCCCTCCTTGTAAATGTACAGCAGAGTAACTTATGAGCAGTAGCATGACCCAACACCAGTATCCCAAAGTGATAAAGTGCACAAAAACACACAGACCGGGGTTATCTCTTCCATAAGAGAAGCATCCCGAGCTCTGAAGATTACCTGGGAAGGAATCCCACTGGAGCATTGCAGCGCACCCAAATCCCTGGGAGTCACCTGGACCGTGCTCTGACCTACAAGAAGCACTGCCTGAACATCAAGCAAAAAGTGGGTGCTAGAAACAATATCATACGAAAGCTGACTGGCACAACCTGGGGATCACAACCAGATACAGTGAAGACATCTGCCCTTGCGCTGTGCTACTCTGCTGCTGAGTATGCATGCCCAGTGTGGAACACATCTCACCACGCTAAAACAGTGGATGTGGCTCTGAATGAGACATGCCGCATTATCACGGGGTGTCTGCGCCCTAAACCATGGGAGAAATTACACTGCTTAGCCGGTATTGCACCACCTGACATCCGCCGGGAAGTAGCAGCCAATAGTGAAAGGACCAAGGCAGAGACATCTCCAGCTCATCCCCTGTTTGGGTATCAGCCAGCATGCAAAGACTTAAATCTAGACATAGTTTTCTAAGATCTACAGAGACACTCACTGGAACACCTCAGCAAGCAAGAGTCCAAAAGTGGCAGGCAAAAACCCGGAACCTCAAGCTATGACTGATACCAAATGAGAGGCTCTCCTCTGGGCTATCAGGAGACTGGGCGACTAGGAAGGCACTGAACAGACTGCGCTCTGGCACCACAAGATGCAGAGCCAACCTTAAGAAATGGGGCTACAAAGTGGAAGTCCACGACATGCGAGTGTGGAGAGGAGCAAACCACTGACCACCTGCTGCAATGCCACCTGAGCCCTGCCACATGCACAAGGGAGGACCTTCTTGCAGCCACACTGGAAGCACTCCAAGTGGCCAGATACTGGTCAAAGGACATTTAACCAGCTACCAAACTCACAAGTTGTGTATTTTTCTGTTTGTTTGCTTTGTTCTGTTAGAAATGTAATATAATGGACTGGTTGCTCTGACACGACAAATAAAAATGCAAAGGACACCCCCTCCTCTCACCGCCATGGACTTTGTGAAAGGGGGCAGCCCCTCCCTGGAGCTGCAGCAAACTCCTGCTCGTCCTGCCTCGTTTCCCCATCACTGCAGCTCATGTGGTCAATCAATCCATACTCTCGGGCTGCTTGGCCAAACACAGAACCGTCCAGCTGGCTACCGGCCAGGTCCGGCTCTGCCCCTCCCCTGAATAACTCCCCCTCCCTATTCCGCTGGTCAAGGAGGACGTTTGGCCCTGGCTGCATGTGGAAAGTCACACGTCCATCAGAGAGAGAGGCTCACCCTTGGCCAGCATGTAGGGCCGTGATGGTGAACCTACGACACGCGTATCAGCACTGACACGCATGGCAATTTTTTATGCCACATACAGAGAAATGCACCTTATAAGAGCCAATCTAATTCCATCCTTAAATTTGTAAAAGGCTCTAAAAATTTAACATCTGCACCTTTGAGCATTGTTCACTCCATAACTCAGCATGGATTATACATTTTTCCTATTTAAACTATAAATATTGCAAAATTATGGTTTTTTCCCTCCACCCAAGTTATGCTCAGGTTTTTGGCAAATTTTGACACACCAAGCTCAAAAGGTTGCCCATCACTGATGTAGGGGCACCCCAGGCCTCACCTGCCATAAGCGAAGCGCCGGTCCTTGTGGTGGTCGCCAAAGGTGTCCCAAAGGCGTAGGGAGATGCTGACCTCGTCCACAACGTCCCGGGAGCGCTCCAGAACCTGTCATTTGGGGGGGGGGGGAGGAAAGGGTCAAGGGGGCACAAAGAGGGGGCAGTCAGATGGGGAGATGTCTTCTATATACTGTTTATCAGACCTGGGCCAACTTTGGCCCTCTCTCCAGGTGTTTTGGCATTCATCTCAGTATGAGAAGGCCTCAGTGTGAGGTAGGCCTCAGTGTGAGTAGATCTCAGTATGAGAAGGCCTGGTATGAGAAGCTTCGGTGAGAGAAACCCCAGGGTGAAGGCTTCATGTGTAAAGCTACTGTGTGCAGCTTCAGTGTGTGAAAGCCTGTGTGAAGCTCCTGTGTAACTTTGGTGTGAGAGGAGGCTCTGTGAGAGCGAAGCTGTTCATCTGCATGAGAAAGAAGCCCGGAGTGGGTCAACTTTGGCTCTCTCTCCAGGTGTTTTTGGAATTCAACTCCCACAATTCCTCAGTGTGAGAAGGCCTCAGTGTTAGTAGGTCTCAGTATGAGAAGGCCTGGTGTGAGAAGCTTCGGTGAGAGAAACCCCATAATGAAGGCTTCATGTGTAAAGCTACTGTGTGAAGCTTCCATGAGTGAAGGCCTGTGTGTAAGATATTGTGTGAAGCTCCTGTGTAACTTCGGTGTGAGAGGAGGCTCTGTGAGAGCGAAGCTGTTTATCTGCATGAGAAAGAAGCCCGGAGTGGGCCAACTTTGGCTCTCTCTCCATGTGTTTTTGGAATTCAACTCCCACAATTCCTCAGTGTGAGAAGGCCTCAGTGTTAGTAGGTCTCAGTATGAGAAGGCCTGGTGTGAGAAGCTTCGGTGAGAGAAACCCCAGGATGAAGGCTACTTGTGTAAAGCTACTGTGTGAAGCTTCAGTGTGTGAAGGCCTGTGTGTAAAGCTATTGTGTGAAGCTCCTGTGTAACTTTGGTGTGAGAGGAGTCTCTGTGAGAGCGAAGCTGTTTATCTGCATGAGAAAGAAGCCCGGAGTGGGCCAACTTTGGCTCTCTCTCCATGTGTTTTTGGAATTCAACTCCCACAATTCCTCAGTGTGAGAAGGCCTCAGTGTTAGTAGGTCTCAGTATGAGAAGGCCTGGTGTGAGAAGCTTCGGTGAGAGAAACCCCAGGATGAAGGCTACTTGTGTAAAGCTACTGTGTGAAGCTTCAGTGTGTGAAGGCCTGTGTGTAAAGCTATTGTGTGAAGCTCCTGTGTAACTTTGGTGTGAGAGGAGTCTCTGTGAGAGCGAAGCTGTTTATCTGCATGAGAAAGAAGCCTGGAGTGGAAGCAAAGAAGGAAGTATAGGAATTGTGGGAGTTGGTGTCCAAAACACCTGGAGGGAGGGCCAAAGTTGTTTATCTGCATGAGAAAGTAGCCTGGAGTGGGCCAACTTTGGCTCTCCCTCCAGGTGTTTTTGGAATTCAACTCCCACAATTCCTCAGTGTGAGAAGGCCTCAGTGTGAGGTTAGCCTCAGTGTTAGGTCTCAGTATGATAAGGCCTGGTGTGAGAAGCTTCGGTGAGAGAACCCCATGGTGAAGGCTTCATGTGTAACACTACTGTGTGAAGCTTCAGTGTGTGAAGGCCTGTGTGTAAAGCTCCTGTGTAACTTCGGTGTGAGAGGAGGCTCTGTGAGAGCGAAGCTGTTTATCTGCATGAGAAAGAAGCCCGGAGTGGGCCAACTTTGGCTCTCTCTCCAAGTGTTTTGGAATTCAACTCCCACAATTCCTCAGTGTGAGAAGGCCTCAGTGTGCGGTAGGCCTCAGTATTAGTAGGTCTCAGTATGAGAAGGCCTGATGTGAGAAGCTTCAGTGAGAGAAACCCCATAATGAAGGCTTCATGTGTACACTACTGTGTGAAGCTTCAGTATGTGAAGGCCTGTGTGTAAAGCTATTGTGTGAAGCTCCTGTGTAACTTTGGTGTGAGAGGAGTCTCTGTGAGAGCGAAGCTGTTTATCTGCATGAGAAAGAAGCCTGGAGTGGAAGCAAAGAAGGAAGTATAGGAATTATGGGAGTTGGCATCCAAATCACCTGGAGGGCGGGCCAAAGTTGTTTATCTGCATGAGAAAGAAGCCTGGAGTGGGCCAACTTTGGCTCTCTCTCCAGGTGTTTTGGAATTCATCTCCCACAATTCTTCAGTGTGAGAAGGCCTCAGTGTGAGGTAGACCTCAGTGTGAGGTAGGCTTCAGTATGAGAAGGCCTGGTGTGAGAAGCTTCGGTGAGAGAAACCCCAGGGTGAAGGCTTTATGTGTAAACTACTGTGTGAAACTTCAATGTGTGAAGGCCTGTGTGTAAAGCTATTGTGTCAAGCTCCTGTGTAACTTCGGTGTGAGAGGAGCCTCTGTGAGAATGAAGCGGTTTATCTGCATGCGAAAGAAGCCCGGAGTTGGCCAACTTTGGCTCTCTCTCCAGGTGTTTTGGAATTCTTCTCCCACAATTCCTCAATGTGAGAAGGCCTCAGTGTGAGGTAGGCTTCAGTATGAGAAGGCCTGGTGTGAGAAGCTTCGGTGAGAGAAACCCCAGGATGAAGGCTACTTGTGTAAAGCTACTGCGTGAAGCTTCAGTGTGTGAAGGCCTGTGTGTAAAGCTATTGTGAAGCTCCTGTGTAGCTTCGGTGTGAGAGGAGGCTCAGTGTGAGAGCTAAGCTGTTTATCTGCATGAGAAAGAAGCTCAGAGTGGAAGCAAAGAAGGAAGTATAGGAATTGTGGGAGTTGGCGTCCAAAACACCTGGAGGGAGGGCCAAAGTTGGCCCATGCCTGGTGTATATGGTGCTATGGTATTGGGAACCATTTATGAGATCCAATTTTTCACATGCAACACAAAGCTATTTACTATATACGCGGTATATAACACTATAGTATTGAATGTCACTCATTAAGTTCAATCTTTCACACACCATGTGCATTTATTCCCACTGTATACTGTATATCATGCATTGCATACTGTATATCATGCAACAACATTGGATGCCATTTACTATATTTTTCACATTTAACGTAAACCTGTTACCGCTATATACTGTATACGTTGCTATCATATTGGACACTATTTATGAAACTCAATTTTCCACGGATTATATAAACATATTTCCTGTATATACTGTATATGATGCTATAGTATTGAATGCCACTAATTTGATTTAATCTTTCATGCGTCGTGTACATATATTCCCACTATATATACTGTATATGACGGTACGGCATTGGATGGCATTTACAAGACTATATTTTTCACATCTTACGTAAACAAATTTCCTATATATACTGTACATGATGTTATGCTATTGCATGTCATTGCAAGACGTTTGCAAAGGGTGGGCCAAAAATTACAAAGGGTTTTGGTATTTAATAAAGCCTTTATATAGGAAATAGGTTTGCACAAGGTGGCAAAAATCCTATATTGTAAATGGCACCCAGTAACATATACAATGTGTGTGTGTATGTCTCTCTCTCTCTCTGTGTATGTGTATGTATATATATATATGTGTGTGTGTGTGTGTGTGTGTGCATATATATATATTAATGTAATTTTAGTTTGTGGGATTAACGTAACTCAAAAACCACTGGATGAATTGACACCAAATTTGGACACAACACACCTAACAGTTCAACAAGTGTTCATCACCCCTAAAAACACACACAAAAAAACCCACAGCAGAATGGACTTAAAAACCCCAAAAATACACCATATATACATATACACATACACTTATCACATACACATGCATACACAAATATGCACATATACATATACATACACACATACACACATATACACATTAGCACACACAAATATACACATGCTCACATACATACACTCATATATATACACAAATATGCATACAGATAAGCACACACACGTACACAATATACATATACACATATAAACACACAATTATATATACACATATATATACATACACATATGCACACACATATATACATCCATATATATATATACACACACACACACACAAACATTATATACACACACATATATACATACACATATGCACACACATATATACATCCATATATATATATATATATACACACACACACATACACACACACAACAAACATATATACATAAATATATACACACATATAAATACATATATACACACACACAAAACACATATATACATATACAGACTGGGCCACAGCAATACGTGACAGGGGACGGCTAGTGTGTGTGTATATATGTATATGTGTGCGTGTGTGTGTATCTATATCTATCTATCTATATATATATGAAATAGGTTTACACGTCCTGTAGAAAACGAAGTTTTGCAAATGACATCCAATCACATAGCGTCATATACAGTATATATACGATTACATAACCCGTGGAAAATTATTTCCTATATATACTGTATATGTTACTGGGTGCTATTTGCAAGATACGGTTTTTGACACCTCATGTAAACAAACCTATTTCGTCCATATACTGTATACGATGCTATCACTTTGGACATCATTTCTGCGACTCCATTTTACATCATGTAAACCTATTGTATGTATATGGCACTATATTATTTGGTGTCATATACAAGACTTAGTTTCCCACAGATCATGTAAATATAGATCTATCACACACACATATTGCATTGTATACAATGCTATGGCATTGTCATTAAAAGCCAAACAATTCAAGGCATCATTAAATCCCGAAAGTTCTTTTGTGACTTTTGCCCCCCTCTTTGCAGGCTTTTGGGGGGCTCCCCGGGACCCACCTCCTGGCAGACGCGGTACTGGTCGATGGCCCAGACGGTGGGCACATGAGTGGCCAGGAGCTGGTACTGCGAGAGGGTGGCATTGCAAGCCCGGGCGCAGATGAGGCGGGTCTTGCCCACGGCGTTGTCGCCCACCACCACGCACTTGATGGTCTCGACATTGGGCCGCTCGTAGTCCAGGTCAAGATCCATCGGGGTGCCACTGGGCAGAGCCAGGGGAAGAGAGAGAGACACAAAGGGGGCGTGTCAGACCCCACTCAAGAGACCCCTGGCCTTATTGTTTACCCCCCCCCACTAAGTCCACCCCTCCAGACCTTATCACAGCCCCCCCCCCCCCACTAAGCCCACTCCCACCCGAAATGACAGAGGAAGGTGGGACGAAAGAGGGGTGCACTGGAGACTGGCAAGCATCCCTTATAGCCAAGCAAGAGACCCCAACCCTTATAGCCGGACCCTTCCCATTATCCCCCAATTCCACCCTTAGCGCTGATGATGTCCAAAGAGACAGAGGAGGCGACAAAAGAGGGGTGCAGCAGAGCCCACCCAAGAGCCGGACCCCCTACAATGATATAGTCAACAAAGAGACCCCAACCCTTATAGCCAGACCCTTCCCCTTATGCCCTGCAGAGGAAGTGGGGGAAGAAAGAAGGGTGAGAAAGACCAGCAAGCAGGAAGCCCCTCCCCCATGCCTTATAGACTGGCAAGCATCCGTCTAGCAAAAGACCCTAACCCTTATAGCCAGACCCTTCCCCTTATCCCCCAATTCCACCCTTGGCGCTAATGATGTCGAAAGAGACAGAGGAGGCAACAAAAGAGGGGTGCAGCAGAGCCCACCCAAGAGCCCACCCTACAATTATATAGCCAACGAAGAGACCCCAACCCTTATGGCCGGACCCCTCCCCTTATCCCCCAATTCCGCTCTTATTGCTGATGATGTCCAAAGAGACAGAGGAGGCAACAAAAGAGGGGTGCAGCAGAGCCCACCCAAGAGCCGGACCCCCTACAATTATATCGCCAACGAAGAGACCCCAACCCTTATAGCCGGACCCTTCCCCTTATTTCTCAATTCCACACTTATCGCCAATGACATCCGGAGGGAAAAAAGAGACAGAGGAGGCAACAAAAGAGGGATGCAGCAGAGCCGGACCCCCTACAATTATATAGCCAACGAAAAGACCCCAACCCTTATAGCCAGACCCTTCTCCTTATGCCCTGCAGATGAAGTGGGGGAAGAAAGAAGGGTGAGAAAGACCAGCAAGCAGGAAGCCCTCCCCTCCCATGCCTTATAGACTGGCAAGCATCCCTTATAGTCAAGCAAGAGACCCCAACCCTTATAGCCGGACCCTTCCCCTTATTTCTCAATTCCACACTATCGCCAATGACATCCAGAGGGAAGAAAGAGACAGAAGAGGCAACAAAAGAGGGGTGCAGCAGAGCCCACCCAAAAGCCGGACCCCCTGCAATTATATAGCCAACAAAGAGACCCCAACCCTTATTGCCAGACCCCTCCCCTTATCCCCCAATTCCACTCTTATTGCTGATGATGTCCAAAGAGACAAAGGAGATTATAAAAGAGGGGTGCAGCAGAGCCCACCCAAGAGCCGGACCCCCTGCAATTATATAGCCAACGAAGAGACCCCAACCCTTATGGCTGGACCCTTCCCCTTATGCCCTGCAGAGGAAGTGGGGGAAGAAAGAAGGGTGAGAAAGACCCGCAAGCAGGAAGACCCCCCCTCCCATGCCTTATAGACTGGCAAGCATCCCTTATAGTCAAGCAAGAGACCCCAACCCTTATAGCCAGACCCCTCCCCTTATCCTCCTATTCCATCCTTATCGCCAATTATGTCGGAAGGAAGAAAGAGACAAAAAAAGGGGTGCAGCAGAGACCACCCAAGAGCCGGACCCCTGACAATTATATAGCCAACAAAGAGACCCCAGCCCTTATAGCCGGACCCCTCCCCTTATTTCCCAATTCCACACTTATCGCCAAAGGGAAGAAAGAGACAGAGGCAACAAAAATGGGTGCAGGAAGGACTACCCTAGAGCCGGATTGCTGACAATTATATAGTCAGGGGATGGACCCCCCACCCAAATATAGAAAGGGAAGAAAAAGAGGCACCAGTCTTGGAAAAAAGTGGGGAGGGGTCTATGGTGCACTCGCCCCCCTCCCAAAGAAAGACCCCCACCCAAAGACATGGAGAAAAAGGGGCACGTCATTAACCCTTTGAGTCAAATGAGGACCCTCACCCAAGATTACAGAAGTGTGTGTGTGTGTGTGTGTGTGGGGGGGGGTCAATGCCCACACCCCCTTCCCAAAGAAAGACCCCCTCCCCTTATAATCAGGGAAGGGAGGGAAAGGCCCATCAATCTTGAAGTGGGGAGAGGTCTCTTGTCCCCACGCCCCCTTCTCAAAAAGAGATTCCCACCCAAAATACTGCAGAAAGAGGGGCAGAAAAGAAAGCAATTATTCAAGGAAATGGGGAGGGGTCTCTGGTGCCCAAAATCGTGGAGAAAGAGGGGCGTGCCATTGACCCACTCAAGATTACAGAAGTGTGAGTGTGTTTGGGGGGGGGGACTAATGCCCACGCCCCCTTCACAAAGAGAGATTCCCTTTCCTTATAATCAAGGAAGAGACCCCCACCACCAATTATAGAGAAAGAGCAAGGCATCAGTCTTGGAAGGAAGTGGGGAGGGGTCTCTGATGCCCAAAATCAGGTCTCACTCAAGATTACGGAAGGGTGGGGGGGGGGGGTTAATGCACACGCCCCCTTGCCAAGGGAGGGACCCCCCACCCAAATGAAGAGGCATCAATCTTGAAGTGGGGAGGGGTCTCTTGTTCCTACGCCCCCTTCTCAAAGAGGGACCCCACCCAAAATAGTGCAGAATGAGGGGCAGGACCCTGAAAGCCAAGGGGGGACCCTCACTCAAGATTATGGAAGTGTTGGGGGGGGTCAATGTCCTTAGATAGCCAAGGGAGGGACCCTCACCCAAATAAAGAAGGGGCATCAACCTTGAAGTGGGGAGGGGTCTCTGGTGCCCAAAACCTTGGAGAAAGGGGCATGTCATTGACCTTTTGAGTCAAAGAGGGACCCCCACCCAAGATTACAGAAATGTGTGTTTGGGGGGGGGGTCAATGCCCACGCCCCCTTCCCAAAGAGTGTCTCCCTTTCCTTATAATCAGGGAAGGGACCTCCACCCAATTACAGAAGAAGAGAAAGGCATAAATCTTGGAGAAAAGTGGGGAGGGGTCTCTTGTGACCAAAATCATGGAGAGAGAAAGAGGGTCACGCTGGGGACCCTTAGATAGCCAAGGGAGGGACCCCCCACCCAAATGAAGAGGCATCAATCTTGAAGTGGGGAGGGGTCTCTTGTTCCTACGCCCCCTTCTCAAAGACAGACCCCCACCCAAAATAGTGCAGAAAGAGGGGCAGGACCCTGAAAGCCAAGGGGGGACCCTCACTCAAGATTACGGAAGTGTGGGGGGGGGTCGATGTCCTTAGATAGCCAAGGGAGGGACCCTCACCCAAATTGAAGTGGGGAGGGGTCTCTGGTGCCCAAAACCAAGAGGGGGTACCAATCTTGAAGTGGGGAGGGGTCTCTGGTGCCCAAAACCAGAGGGGGTACCAATCTTGAAGTGGGGAGGGGTCTCTGGTGCCCAAAACCAAGAGGGGGGTACCAACCTTGAAGTGGGGAGGGATCTCTGGTGCCCAAAACAAGGAGGGGGTACCAATCTTGAAGCGGGGAGGGGTCTCTGGTGCCCAAAACCAAGAGGGGGTACCAATCTTGAAGCGGGGAGGGGTCTCTGGTGCCCAAAACCAAGAGGGGTTACCAATCTTGAAGTAGGGAAGGGTCTCTTGTTCCTACGCCCCCTTCTCAAAGAGAGACCCCCACTCAAAATAGAGCAGAATGGGGGGCAGGACCCTTCAAGCCAAGGGGGGGACCCTCAACGTCCTTAGATGGCCAAGGGAGGGACCCCCACCCAAAATAGTACAAAAAAAGGGCCAGGACCCTTCAAGCCAAGGGGGGGGACCCTCAACGTCCTTAGATAGCCAAAGGAGGGACCCCTACCCAAATGAAGAGTGGGCACCAATCTTGAAGTGGGGAGGGGTCTCCCCTTCAAGCCAGGGTGGGGGGGCTCTCAACGTCCTTAGATAGCCAAGGGAGGGACCCCCACCCAAATGAAGAGTGGGCACCAATCTTGAAGTGGGGAGGGGTCTCCCCTTCAAGCCAGGGTGGGGGGACTCTCAATGTCCTTAGATAGCCAAGGGAGGGACCCCCACCCAAATGAAGAGTGGGCACCAATCTTGAAGTGGGGAGGGGTCTCCCCTTCAAGCCAGGGTGGGGGGGCTCTCAACGTCCTTAGATAGCCAAGGGAGGGACCCCCACCCAAATGAAGAGTGGGCACCAATCTTGAAGTGGGGAGGGGTCTCTGGTGCCCAAAACGGTGGAGAAAGAGAGTCAAAGAAGGACCCCTACTCAAGATTGTGGGCATGTGTTGGGGGGGGAGTCAATGCCCACGCCCCCTCCCAAAAAGCGACCTCCCCCTCCCCTCAAATAGTGGAGTAAAGGAAATATATTGGGGGAGGGGGTCCTCTGATGCCCGGCCCCCTCCCCAGAGAGCAGAGAAAAGGGGGGGGGAATTGGGGAGGGGTCTGACTCACCGGCTGCCCCTTCAGGCCTGGGGAGGAGGAGGAGGAGGAGGAGGAGGAGGGGGCTGTGGGGAGGGGGCGCCTGCACCCGGGGGTCCCCATCCCATCCTCTCCTCTCTGCTTCCCTGCCTTCTTCCTTCTGCCTCCCTCTCTGCTGCTCCTCCTCCTGCTTTCCCCTCGGCCACGCCCCCTCCTGGGGACATCGCAGGCACGTCCCGCCAACAGGGCACGCCCCCTCAGCCTCGCCCGGCCAATAGGGAACCAGGCCACGCCCCTTTCCCCGCCCCTATACCTAGCCACGCCCCCTTGGGAGTCTCTCAGCCAATGGGAGGCCGGCGACGCCCCTTCGAGCCCGAACAAAGGAGGAGGCGCGGTCTGGGGAGGGGGCGGGGCTTTGGGAAAGGGGCGGGGCTTCCAGGGAAGCAGAGTGTTGTTGTTGTTGTTCCTAAACAAGCAACAGGAAAGGTCCAGCTGGAGTTGTTTATTTTGTTTGTTTACGGCATTGAGGGGACTCAGAGCCGCTTCCAAGATATATATATACATACAATATATTATATTATTAGCATAGCACAATATCAGTATCATTTATTATATAATATTGTATTATTATTAGTAGTATTATATTGTATTATATATTGTATTATAAGAAGCACTGCCTGAACATCAAGCAAAAAGTGGGTGCTAGAAACAATATCATACGAAAGCTGACTGGCACAACCTGGGGATCACAACCAGATACAGTGAAGACATCTGCCCTTGCGCTGTGCTACTCTGCTGCTGAGTATGCATGCCCAGTGTGGAACACATCTCACCACACTAAAGCAGTGGATGTGGCTCTTAATGAGACATGCCGCATTATCACAGGGTGCCTGCGCCCCACACCACTGGAAAAATTACACTGTCTAGCCGGTATTGCACCACCTGACATCCGCCGGGAAGTAGCAGCCAATAGTGAAAGGACCAAGGCAGAGACATCTCCAGCTCATCCATTGTTTGGGTATCAGCCAGCACGTCAACGACTTAAATCAAGAAATAGTTTTCTAAGATCTACAGAGACACTCGCTGGAACACCTCAGCAAGCGAGAGTCCAAAAGTGGCAGGCTCAAACCCAGAACCTCAACCAATGGCTGATACCAAATGAGAGACTCCCCCCGGGGCACACAGAGGACTGGGCGACTTGGAAGGCGCTGAACAGACTGCGCTCTGGCACCACGAGATGCAGAGCCAACCTTCAGAAATGGGGCTACAAAGTGGAATCCTCGACATGCGAGTGTGGAGAGAGCAAACCACTGACCACCTGCTGCAATGCACCCTGAGCCCTGCCACATGCACACGGGAGGACCTTCTTGCGGCAACACCAGAGGCACTCCAAGTGGCCAGATACTGGTCAAAGGACATTTAATCAACTACCAAACTCACAAATTCTGTAATCTGCTTGTTTGCTTTGTTTCTGTTAGAAATGTAATATAATTTGACTGGTTGTTCTGACACGACAAATAAATAAAATTGTATTATATTATAATACTATAACTATTATATATTATATAATATTGTATTATGATTATTAGTATTATAGTATTATAGTATAATATATACAATATATTATTAGCATAGTACAATATCTGTATTATATATTATATAATATTGTATTATATTATATTGTATTATATTATATTATATTATATTATATTATTATTATTATAAGCATAGCACAAATAATATATATATTATTAATTATTATATATTATATTTATATATATAATATATATATATTATATTTATTATATTATATTGTACTATACCATTGTATTGTAATATTATTAGTAATATTACATTAATAATATAAATATATTATTATAATATTGTATTATTAGTTAGTATTATATTGTATTACATTATAATATTATAAATATTTATGTATATACAATATATTTTATTATCATAGCACAATATCAGTATCATATATATATATATTGTACTATATTAGTATTATATATTATATAATACTATAATATTATATATATATAAATATTGTATTATTATTAGTAGTATATATTATATATTACATAGTACAATATCATATTATATATTATATAATATTGTATTATTAGTAGTATATATTGTATTATTATATATTAAAAATATTATATTATATAAATATTATATTATTAGCATAGTACAATATCAGTATATATATTATATAATATTGTATATTATTTATATATTATATTATTATATAATATATATATTATATATTATATATATTGTATATTTTAGTATTATAGATAATTATATATTAAATATAGTATTATTATAATATTATATTATTATATTATTATATTATATTATTATAACATATAATATTAATATATTATATAATATTGTATATTATAGTAGTATTATATTATATTATAACTATAATATTATATATTATTATAATATTGTATTATTATTAGTATTATAATATATACAATATATTATTTTATTAGCATAGTTACAATATAGTATTATATAATATTGTATTATTATAGTGTTATTATTATTATTACATATTACATGTAATATTATATATTATATATATTGTATTATTATTATATTATATATTATATATAATATATTATATTATTAGCATAGTACAATATCAGTATTATATATTATATAATATATTATATTATATAGTAATATATTTATTATATATAAATATATAAATATATATTAATATATTATTATTATATTGCATTATATTATAATATTATAAATATTATATGTATATACAATATATATTATGTTATATGTTTATACAATATATATTATATTATATTATATTATATTATATTATATTATATTATTAGAATAGCACAGGATACATTATATATTATATATAATATTGTATATTATTAGTATATTATATTGTATATATTATAATATTATATTTATTAATTATTATATATTATTAATATAAATATATATTATATATTATATAATATTGTATTATTATTAGTAGTATTATATTTTATTATATTATAATACTATAAATATTATATGTATATACATTATATATTATATTATTAGCATAGTACAATATCAGTATTAAGTATTATATTATATTTTATAATATTGTATTATTATTAGTAGTATTATATTGTATTATATTATATTGACGCGCTGGCTGATACCCAAACAGGGTATCATTGGTTGAAGTTCTGGGTTGGAGCCTGCCACTCCAGGAGGGAGTCTCTCATTTGTTATCAGCCATTGGTTGAGGTTCTGGGTTTGAGCCTGCCACTTTTGGACTCTCACTTGCTGAGGTGTTCCAGCGGGTGTCTCTGTAGATATTAGAAAACTATGTCTGGATTTAAGTCATATGCTGGCTGATACCCAAACAGGGGATGAGCTGGAGATGTCACTGCCTTGGTCCTTTCACTATTGGCTGCTACTTCCCGGCGGATGTCAGGTGGTGCAATACCGGCTAAGCAGTGTAATTTCTCCAGTGGTGTAGGGCGCAGGCACCCCGTGATAATGCGGCATGTCTCATTAAGAGCCACATCCACTGTTTTAGCGTGGTGAGATGTGTTCCACACTGGGCATGCATATTCAGCAGCAGAGTAGCACAGTGCAAGGGCAGATGTCTTCCCTGTATCTGGTTGTGATCCCCAGGTTGTGCCAGTCAGCTTTCATATGATATTGTTTCTGGCACCCACTTTTTGATTGATGTTCAGGCAGTGCTTCTTGTAGGTCAGAGCACGGTCCAGAGTGACTCCCAGGTATTTGGGTGCGCTGCAATGCTCCAGTGGGATTCCTTCCCAGGTGATCCTCAGAGCTCGGGATGCTTGTCTGTTCTCAAGATGAAAAGCACATGTCTGTGTTAGTCCTCAATCACTCTCTACTTCATTCGGAAGAATGCTTCACTCGCAGAGCTCAGACGGTGTTGTATTTCAGTGTCAATGTTGACTTTTGTGGAGAGGTGGCTGCCAAGGGAGCAGAAATGATCAATATTTTCTAATTTTACACAATTCAGCTGTATCTCTGGCATTGGAGAGGGATTGGCTGGTGACTGCTGGAAGAGCACTTTGGTTTTCTCGATGTTTGAAGACAGGCCGAACTTCTCGTATGCTTTACGCGTCCCCATTCTTCATCTTTTTTCTGCCTAAGTGGAGTCTCTTGCATTTGTCCCTGTTGAGCTTCATTTTGTTAGTTTTGGCGCATCTCTCTAATCTATCAAGATCGTTTTGAATCCTGCTCCTGTCTTCTGGAGTATTGGCTCTCACTCCCAATTTCGTCACGTCTGCAAACATGATGATCATGTATTGTCGAAGGCTTTCATGGCCAGAATCACTGGGTTGTTGTAGTTTTTTCGGGTTATGTGGCCATAGTCTAGAGGCATTCTCTCCTGACGTTGTAAGGTCCTCACTACCTCTGAGGATGCTTGCCATAGATGCAGGCGAAACGTCAGGAGAGAATGCCTCTAGAACATGGCCATATAGCCCGAAAAAGCTACAACAACCCAGTGATGACCATGCCTCCTAACCCTTCATCTTAGTCATTAATAAAGATGTTGAACAGGACTTGGCCCAGTTCACTAGAATAACTCTGGTTGCTTCTGGATTGAGAGAATCGGAAGACGTAGACCAGCCACTGCCAGAAGGGACAGAGAGTTTCATCTCTGCTGATGATCGTGCCATTACCACTCAAGCAGGGAGCTTTGAGATGGTTGAACAGAAGCTCTCCGAAGCTCTAGGTGCCCTTACTGCCCTCTACAGGGAAAACCAACTGATCCCTAATCCATCTAAAACACAGACATGTGCCTTTCACCTCAAGAACAGACAAGCATCCCGAGCTCTGAGGATGACCTGGGAAGGAATCCCACTGGAGCATTGCAGCGCACCCAAATACCTGGGAGTCACTCTGGACCATTCTCTGACCTACAAGAAGCACTGCCTGAATATCAAGCAAAAAGTGGGTGCTAGAAACAATATCATACGAAAAGCTGACTGGCACAACCTGGGGATCACAACCAGACACAGTGAAGACATCTGCCCTTGCGCTATGCTACTCTGCTGCTGAGTATGCATGCCCAGTGTGGAACACATCTCACCACACTAAAACAGTGGATGTGGCTCTTAATGAGACATGCCGCATTATCACAGGGTGTCTGCGCCCCACACCCCTGGAGAAATTACACTGCTTAGCC